CACCTTTTCATCCAATCAGAAGTAAAACCAAAGCCAATTGTGACGCGCTCGCATGCATTTTCCCGCGCTTTGCGTCAGCCACATGTAATTACTTCGAGTTTTGATTGGTTCAATGTATTGTCTGTGTCCTATGTGATTGGCCAGAGTAATTACTTTGGTTTTGGTTTTACGACACTCAAACGAAAACCACTCTAAAGCACATTATTTATTTAGAAATGCAAAAACTATTGTATTTAAGTATAGAGCGGTTTTCACTTGACTGTCGAAGGGAATTGGTTTTGGTTTTGGTTTTACTACGCCCTTTGGTTGGCTAGTGTATTTACTTTGGTTTTGGTTTTACGACAGTCAAGTGAAAACCGCTCTAATCAGAGGGAGTTTTATTGGTTTAGTTGTTCTATCAGCTGTCCCCTATTAGTAGAGGGCCTGCCCCTCGGCTAGTTTTCTTTCTTGACACATAAATAAAGTTTCTATCTATCTATCAGAGGAAAATCTCCATTGTAAGAAGTGTTACTTAGTTTGCTTATCCTTAGGTTTAAATACGGCGATCTACCGGTTTAGATAAGAGCTTTAGTATTCTTAATTTCGATAGAGAAGTTCCGACTGAATGCTTTTTTTCTTTTGCCTCCCGGTTTTTTTTATTTCTTCTGTATTCATGATATTATATTTTTGAGGCTTTACCCATTATATGAGAATGAAAGATTAGGTCGTTGGATGAATTTGCCTCAATGATTGGTTTCTGCATAAAATATGTTAAATAGTATTCTGGTTTTGAATTGACACTGTTTTTGAAGTGTGAGCGTTTCTTAGCAAAATCCTTTTAAATTTATAGACGATATCAATTTTGCTAGTTTTGAAATAAACATAAGGGAATTCAAATTCAATTAGCCTTCTGAAAGCTAAATACGTAATTGGATTCTGTTATTGAATTAGATTTTTCTTGAAGTCTGAGCGTTTCTTAGCAATATTTTTTGGCAATGAAATAGTCATCTTTTCATATAAATATAGATGAAAAAACAACTACTTAAACAAGTTATAGGCTTCTTGCTGTAGCTCATCTGGTACGTGAAAAGGTTGGTAACTAATTTTTAAGATCTGTTGAGGCAAATTCGGGGCCGTATCTGCGAGCTAATTTTCCTTTATTTTCTTGTTCGATATTTACCATAACCGCTTTTGAAAAAGTCTAATTATTTAACATTTTATTTTTTAACGTTTTATTTTGTTTATTTTTTGTACGTGGACGATGATAGTTTCAGTTCCCAGTAAATTCTACAAATAATATATGGCCTTCTTTGTTGCAATTTGTAAATAACCGAATCATTGTATTTTTGAATGTTTTGTTTGTTCTCCTTCCTCGGAAACATTCTTGACTTCTGGTTTTCAAGTGACGTTAATCAAAGTTTTCAACTAAAATCCTCAAATTAAACTAATAAAGTTTCATGTAAGAGAAATTGATAACTTCATATCTTTTTAGAAGATTTCCGCTGGATGGGGCAGCCGTTTAACGTATTTTGTGATAGAATACTTTTGAATGTTCAATACACTAAAAATGGCGGCCGAGAAGTTGAATAACCCTTGTATTAGAACAAGTCGTTTACTATCTTGAATGACTACTTCTTGCTTTCACAGCAAAACCCCAACTGAGACATGTTGGTGCCCCTTGGATGGACACCAATATGCAATCTGGCCGATAAAAACTTTATCCGAACATCTATTTCCCGCTTATAAAAGGCCACACAGAATTGAATTTCGGCCAGGCTGTTTTCAATTTTATCTTCTTTTTATTCGTAAGATTCGCGTCTTTATGCGCTTAATGGTTTTACGTGGCACCTCTATTCATGGAATACCCTCTGGACCAAGGAAAGTGTCCCCTGGATGGAGGTTGGGCTGGGGTTTGTTAATATTGATCTACAAATAAAAGATAATCTGCTGCAGTCAATATATCAAGCAGCTAGATAATGCATACAAAATCATGATTAATTTATCTCTGCAAAATTCTGAGTTGAAATCTCACAAGTGCATGCAGTACATTGATTCAAGTGAGATAGTTCATGTTGTGAAAGTTGTCGTCATTGTGCCGACTTGTGAACACTTCAACTTATCAACGCCTTCTGTGGTCAGTCGCTTTTTGAGTGCTAAGGTATCCCCTGAATGGAGGTTAAACATGGGCTTCAAGACGTAGAAAGAATGTACCTTTTCCCCTTCAATAGAGGTAACAGATACAAAGATATTGAGAAAATGCTTTCGACCTTAAAATTTTGTGTCCCCTAAATGGAGCTGTCCCTTTAATAGAGGTGTCCAAAAGGAGAAGTTGCACGGTAATTCTTATTTCTAAAGGCGTGGCACTTTAAAACCAGAAACTGAAGAAAAGGTTTGCTGCTGCGTGCTCGCTTTTGACGGACCAAAATCAAGATTTTAGTATAACAATCAGGGCGGATGGTCCTGTCAAAAGAGCCACTTCATAACCGATACTTTGCTGGTAGAAATAATTGATATGGTGCTTTGTAATATTCGCGCAGTTCATAATGTTGGGTGTCTTGTGCTACTAAGCGATGATCTTTCACGCTATCTTGGATTTTGAAACCTTAGTCACACGACATTGAAATGGCAGGCTAGATCGGTGTAACGTAGTTGAAAAAGGGGCTTTAGCTTTAGTGTTTAGTCGTGTTAGAATAAGTGTTAATTTCAATGGTTTTATGAGCTCTTAAGTGTTTACTAAACATACCAAATGTACATGTACGTATGAAGTTTTATGAAATATTGGTTTTGTGGTCTGTTACCGAACGCACGTAGTTTATATTTGTCTTGATTTTTTTGGCTGTTTTCTCGCGAGTAACCCTGCTCGGGACCATTTGAGTCCGTTAGTTGCTCCCTCACTTAATTTCCGTTCTCTTTTATTTCTTGTTATGTTAACTCAAGGTCAACTTTCCAGAATTTGGAAAGCACAATGTGATTGGCTAAGCTTGGGAAAGGAATGGTGTCTTCGGTTGAGCAGGCGTTTGTGGGGAGGGATGAAAGACGAGCTCTCCTAAAAACGCCTCGGACGCACTCAAGAAACTGCGATTACTATTAGTAAATCTAAATACTTTCACTTGCCGTTTCGTTGCAGATTAATCAGACATGGAAAAACGTTCGCTGAGACTGGTACTTGCTTTGGTGACAATCTTTATTTCTTTGCCTTTGCTCTTGGCTAAGCCTAACAACAAAAATAACGGCGACTGTCCAAAACCGAGAGGGAAAGATTGTACCACAGAAGAGGACAGAGAAATCATGAGGTGTTGTCTTGAGAAGTACAAGAAAGGCTTTGATGATCTAAGAGGTCAAGGTTCCCCCTTGCCAGGACAGGATCCGCCTACCTGCCAAACTGATCTGGTAAGTTCTCCTTTGTTCAGCAGCGGATCTGATTCTTTCCCACCATGGAGTGTTGTGCCACACTTACCATGCACTTAGGTCAATAATCAGAAGTAAACACAAATATCAACTTCACGTTTTGTACGCTAGTAAATATACTCAAAACCATATCTTTATAATATTATACAATTCAAACAACTTGAGCCAGCTTTTGATGTTAACACACTGAGAAGCTTATGCATTTTGATAAATATGCTGTTGCTTTTTATTGATTCACCCGGCTAAGATTCGGTTTCTGAGGCCCCGTACACCGGACGTATCCGGATATTTTTGAATCAACAGTTTTCGTTCGCTCAAAAAACGGGGGGCAACGGTGTATTGTCATAAACCACTCTGATTTCAAGAAACGTTGCACTATTTATCTTTTGTTAGGATTTGGCAGAATGCCTTTCCAAAAGCAAATGCTACGCAGGGGTTAACAACGCCCTTCGCCTGCTCATTCTCAATCAACTCGTCTTCACCAAAAGAGTAAGAATCTGCCAACAAAAAAATTTCACTCACCTCTTGGAAGAAGTCGAGAAAGGTAAGATTCAAATTCTTTCGCCCAGTTCTTTTTGATTTCTCTATCTGTGTTTGTATTGAATTAGAACGGAAGAAATGCACAGGTTAAAACGCTTAAATGAGAAGCACGACCTGTATAATAGCCATCATAAAGTGTCCTCACAGCCAAAGCTCACCAAATGATACACATACATACATTCTTACTCTGTTTACAGGCATTCATAAATGACAACTGAAGGAGGATCGTGAGGTTATCCCTGTAGTAAGATCCCTCCTTACAGATACACTATGTAACTTACCATCCCAGGAAAGGTTGGCCACACCACCGGGGTCTACATCCCCTACCCTTTTTGAACATTGGTGTGGGTTCTTCAACGTCCCACATGAACAGATCAGTGAAAGTGCTGTAAGACGGGACCTACCGTTTTTCGTCCTTATCCGAGAAGACTAGAAAGTCTAACCGTTTGCAGATGTCATTACAAAGACAGCACTTTCTTCTCAGTAATTAAAAGACCCTGAGTGTTGGTCCGGCCAGTGTTTGAGACCGCGACCTCCCGCTTGGCATACCGGCGCACTCCCAACAGAGCTAACCAGGCGGCGGTTAAATGATACATATAATCATTTTAACAACGAAACACAACTCGTTTAAATATTAGGCAAATATAAAAGACAATACCCGCATTCAGTCCTGGTCATAAATATCTTGTATACCGCCATTCTCACAACCACCATAGCAGATTTTGCGAACAAAACGTTCCAGTGTGATCGTTGCAAGCTCTACTTTCCTTTACCTCTCCGCACGGCTTCTTCGGCATCTATTTCAGTTATAGCCAAACCCCTGTTATCCACCTAGATCTGCATTCTTCATCGGATATTTTAGCCTCCCATGCAGATGTTCTTCGGGGTGTGGGTGGGGGGGAACCTCATTCATTTATTGTTTATAGTTAAAGAGGCTGGACTCAAAGGACATATATCCATAAGTATGATTTATAATGGGACCTATGAACTTCCACATTGCGATAAGAATGGCCACCACTTGCACTTGTTTTTCTCGACGTAGGAATTGACCAATAGCACGTATCACAAGGGAGTTATTTAGTTCTTACTGCAGCGATTTTATGTCCGCGAACCCCCACAAAAAGGCTGATCGAGTGATAACGAGGAATGAAAAGGATATATAGCAGATTGATTGAATTTCAAGGTAGTAAAATAACTGGTGCAGGGGAACTAATTTTCCCTTCCCATTCCTGTTAACTACGTGCGTCCCCTTCCGCGCTCGTTATGGTCTCGTTATTCTCAGTGATATTTTCCGTGTGTTCCTTACCAACGAGCTGGTACAAATTGGGTAAAGAAATGATATGCCTTTTATTGTCATGTCATCAGTTAATAACAAACTAATATGATTCCGAGCATTATGAGTCCCACATTCATACGAAAAGAAAAAACAACAACAAACAACAACACGGGCAGCTGTCTTTCAAGTTTTCCTACACAATGCAATCCCTTTTATTCAAAAAAGTAAGGGTTAACCGCTTTCATCACTTTTTTCTCTGTCAGAACATTTAACGGGACTGAGCGATATCAAGAAAATGGGTACGTACACTATAAATAGAGCAAGTGTAGAACAATTATAAACAGAAAAAACAACTGTTATGGTCAGTTATCGTTCCCTCGGAAGTCTCTAGAATTTGTATATTTTCACTTCTAATTTTACGCACGGCGTCGTTGTCAGTTTAGTGTTGCGTCTCGCCGATGCAGCATCCAAGCTTTCTGTCTTTGCCGTTTGTCTTTCTCCGCATTGCTACACAATCGGTAAGATTTGTACTTCCTAGTGCCTTTTTCTTTCATAAGTTCATTTTCTTATTGTTATTGTTCTATTTATTTCTGTTTAGCAAACCTCTATTTGTCACCGGGAGAAGCGTTTGCGAAGCGGCAATCTTTGATCCTTGTACAGCGATATGTGTATCAATAAAAATCAGTTATACGGTTTTCCCTAACAACAACTGTAAACTTTGATTAACTGACGTAGGCGAGTTTTTCTAAAGTGCCACATGTCTAGTTGATGTTACTTTTAGCGGAATCTTTCAATCATACATTTCTGTAATTTCTTTAACCATTAATTAAAATTAACTTACCCTGATGCGGATGCAAGAAGTTTCTCTTTTTAAATACGTATTGTTTTATTGAGAAAAGATATAATAAACATGTCACGAGCACGGGACAAAGAAAAAAATCAGAGTCCCCTACAGGAATTGAACCTATGACCTTCCGTACACGGATTGGATGCTCTAACCACTGAGCTACGAAGGACTCGTGGCGAGCTGGGCCATATACAAGGTTCATGTATGACATGCGTCCTGCGTACTGCTAGGATATCAGAAATGTCGAAATCGTCCTGTTGGTGATGAATAAAGAATGATGATAAATTTTAAGCTCGGTAAAGAAATGAGAAATGATATAATCAACATGCCACGAGCACGGGACAAAGATAAAATCTGACTCCCCGACAGGAATTGAACGTGTGACCTTCCGTACACCGGTCGGATGCTCTAACCACTGAGCTACGAAGGACTCGTGGCGAGCTGGGCTATATACAAGGTTCACGTATGTATTGTTTTTTTGTTGAAAAGCCTGTCTATGTGCTTAAAAGAATCGTTTCAATTCTGTTTTAACTCAACAGAAAGTTTGCCTTATGAAAAATGCGCTCAAGATGTGTACCTAGAGTGCGGCAGAGAGTTCAGGGAAGTTTTACAGAGTTACCCTGATGGCTTCAGACCGAGTGAATTGTGTTTTGTCTTCGTTCATGAAGGAAACTGCAACACAAGGGAGGCCCAAAAGAGGAATTGCACTGAATCCGCTGTATTGAACCGGTTCAAACTTAATTCATTTAAGGCAGCTGGAGTCGTTCTGCCCGCTTTGTGTTCTCTGCCTGACAAAGCAAAGCGAGGCCATTAGTCATTATCTTTCGTTATCAATTTACCACTGAAACAGTGAATTACTATATCATCGATATCGAAACGATGCTGTAACCATATAATATGGGAGTGGTATTAAAGGAGAATGTCATAATTGTCTGAGCGAGTGCCGTTTTGTTTTATACAACGAGACGCTGGAAAGAAAGATCTGAATAAAACGAACGAACAAACGAACAAGTGATCCAGCAGAGCTTGTCACATAGCTTCCACCCCATGCAAATAACGGCTGTTCAGTACTCGACCTCAGTAGAGTACAAATATCACTCAAAGCGGGTACAAATATTAACGGCATTTCAACTCCAGAAGATCAGTTTTCCATAAACGTCTTACATGACAGATAACTCCGCATAGTTTTCCGAAGAAAATAAAGAATAGGAGCTAAATTCGCCCATCCATCGATGACCCAGTGGCAGTCAGTCACGTCGAGAGAAACGGCGCAACAACATGCGTACAGTGCTTGAAAACTTTCGTCGGGCCGCTTATCCCGACCCGAATGACTGCCCCTAGGTCTCCGAGGGTGGGTCAAAGGAATATTCATGAATTTTTACGGGCGTTAGTTAAAAAGAATTTATGAATGCAGTTTCGTTCATTCTGAACAAAACCGATTTTCAATGACTTATTTGTCAACTCATTTATTATTAACGAACATTCTTGCCTCTTATTGTTTAGTTAGTACTTGCGCTCTCTCTCTCTAGGAGACCCAGAACAAAATGCATGGACGTTTACTTATGATCACGTGACACGTCACATGACCAAAAATTGAAAAGGAAGGAAATTTACGTATTGGTGGCGAATTTACTTTGTTTGTACAAATAAATTGGCGTTTCTGATAGAGGATAAACATACCTAACTTTTTACGTTTGGAATGAATGTACGCAAAGGTTAACATCGAAGTTTTAAATCATTCAAGATTAAAGGAACAGTATCCCGTTACTGAACATGTACCAAACTTTACTTTTCTGACAGGATGTCACGAATTCAAAAGACGTGACGAGAGAAGTTGGAAAAATCCGTTTGCATCGTGCTTGGGCGAGTTCGATACTACCCCAAAACATCTCAGAATTACAGAGCAATGATATATTGTTCCCGTTAAGTTTCGATTTTGGCAAAATCGGGAGCTTTTGGCGTTGCTTTCATTGCATTTGGCCGGAGGACCGAGAGAAGGGAAGTGCTTTGATACCGATTGAAGGCTTATTTCTCCCGCCAGCTTTTATACATGCTTAGATAATCTTAAAAAACGGAACGGCAACAATAAAGACTATGTAAGAAAGAAACCATGGAGACATGGATGTGACTGAGGAGATCTTGTGCCGGAAGCGTCTTGAAGCAAAATGGGTTGCAACGACGTGTTAGTAAACTTTTAATTAAACCTCCTTCCGGTCGACAAAATAAAAAAAAAAAATAGGCACTTAATGTTTAGGGAAACGAGTGCAATGAAACCATAATTATAATATGATGTTTAACTAACCATTGCGATGCTTTATCGCGTTGAGATGCCATTTTTGTTATCTTATTGAGGGCCATATAAACGCGAGCAAATGTTACTAGACTTGGACTTGCCACAAATTGACCCGGGAAGGGGGTGGGGTGGGGGGGGGGGGGGGGGGGGGGAGGTTGGTACTTCCCTATACCATAAGAGGCTAATAGGGATGTGTCGCTGGATGAGGTCGCATTTTCACGACTTGATTGACTATAATGGGGTTGCATTTTCAAAAGCATTACTAGAATGGGGTCTCACATCTCCGGATTTTGGGGGTAAGAAAGTTCTTCACCTCTACGGTTAGCAAACGTACCAGAATGTTTGTACTGTAGGTGAAAAGAAGTGTTCTTCATTCAATTAAAAAAAAACGGGTCAAATCATTTTAGGATGACCTGTTTAAAGGATTTATTTATAAGGTAGATACAAAAATAGAAAGTGACTAAGTTGGGATGGCGAAAATTACATTTGCCCAAAAGTGAAGATGGGGGTCTATAATTGGCCACAGAATAGACTATAATGGGGCAGAGGCATATACCCAGCAAAAATTAACCCAAATACCCCCCCGGGAAATTAACCTCTGACACGAGTTTTACAGCAGAAAAGCTGTAAAACGAGCTTTCTAGATCGCGAGACGGCCGAGCAAGCAACAAAATTGCGAGAAGTCTTCGTGCCGCGAGCCAAAAAGTAAGACTAAAGACTTCTTCAAAAGGATAAAATATTGTTTGAGAGTGTGAAAAACGAATCTCCGTCGGCGGTGCAGTCCAGAAGGAAATCTTGTCGCGTCAATATGACAGTTCTATCGTCTTTTGAAGAAAAAAAAGTGATGACGCTCGCGCATGCGCATAATCGGGACAATGTCCCTTTAAATTTGGGCGTTTAAAATCAAATTTACTTTCATAATTTTTTTTATTGAAGTGCAAGCGGGACGGTCATTCCAAACGTGAAATGTTAGAAATATTTGATATAAATGAGAAGAATGTTCTTGCTCGATTTCTTTTCTTAAACCCCTCCCCAATTTGTTAATTATTTAAAATTTTTTGCAAAATGGTCACGTGACATATCACCCGACCTATTAACACAATATTCATACATTCAAATCTTAAAGACGATGGTTTCTTTGTGTGCGAAATTTTGATTCAGTTTCATTACCTGAGCCGAAATTAAAGCCAATAAATCATTTCCCAAAGGTAAAACCATTATTTAATTACTTGCGCGAACTCTGTTTTGCCTCTCATTATTCTTTTTTTGTCTACGCGCACTCTGTTTGCCTTTTATTGCTATTATTATTACTTGCGCACACTCTGATTTGCCGTTCATTGATCCTTTTATCACTTGTGAGCACTCTGATTTGCCATTTATTGTTATGTTAATTACGTACACGCAGGAGGCAGCGTGGTCGAGTGGTTAAAGTGCTAGACTTGCAATTCAGAGGCCCAGAGTTCAAGTCCTACCCTGACCACTAGCTGGATTTGTTCACGGTAGTCCCGAGTTCAAATTCTCGACCACACTTGTAAATAACCTTCTGGTTTGCCACCGGCCAGTTGGGATTCTTAACCAGTTATGTGTGATTTAAATTATTATTTGGGCGTGGCCGAAATAGAGTAATGGAAACGAATGTGTAATAGGCACGCAATACGTGCTAACGTAAACAAGGCAAGTAAACAAGCGAAGCGAGGCGAATGTCTGCCATGCGAACGTCTTGTGCAAGGTAAGAGGCATGTGGGAAAAAAAGCTCTGCTAGTACATGGCACTTAATGGCACTTTTACGATCTCAAAAGTTAACCTGAATCTTCAGTATTTTTGCCTCATTGAAATTTGGAAGTCTGAAGTCCAGGGATGAAATTTATCAAAAATATTTGGAATATTAACGTCGGGTTTTGGTCACAATAAGATCACAAGCAACGAACCTTGAAACACAGAAACTCACAAAATGGATTGAAATCCACCAATCAAAAATCACAAACAATGACCTTTTGAACCAGTTGAAGAAAACTTTCGTTTCCTAAGAGGTCCACTAAGATGATTGGCGTCTGACATTTCTTTGATCATGACGAGAGGATCGAAATGCACCAATCATAGAAAGACAGTTTTAATTGCATGTTTCCTAAAAGGTCATCTGAATTTGCTGTTTTCTTTATTTTATGTCCACTTTCTTTTCCTTATTTTGTGATTGGTCGATTTTGTTACTGCGCTTTCCACAATCATGTTAACGGACCTCTTAGGAAGCAAACTTTTACTTTAACGGGTTCAAAAGGCCATGGTTTGTGATTTGTGATTGGTGGATTTCGATCCGTTTTGCGTGTTTCTGTGTTTCAAGGTTCGTTGCTTGTGATCGTAATTATGATTGACGGCAGCGAAAAACGCAATTGTGAAGGCGGCTTATGAACTTTAAAGTTCGCATGTTTGTGAAAAGCGCGGTAGGTCGAGTGAATAATCCAATGAGGGACGATTTGGATATCGTTTGATCCGAAATTTTTCGAAGCAGCAGTAAGAAGCAGTTTGGATAACATTTGGCCGCGGCGTTTCGAGGCGTTTCAATCATGTTATCCCTGGTTAAACTTACAAATGCACACACTGTTCGCGGTAGGCCCACACTAAAAAACAACACTTACTGTTTTCGGAATGGGCTGGTCCGCGAACTCAAAGAAAAACAAAGGAAATTATCAAGACATTCAATGACATCAAAGATTCATGGACCCCTAATAACAAATCGGAATATCAGGAGTGTACGTGTAAAATGGATAAGAGTTTGAACAGAGGGATGTTTAACAAGTTTGAGAGTCGCAAGATTTGTGTTCCGATGAAGGAAGAGACGATTGTCAACAATTGAAACCAAAAGGGACTGAGGCTTCTTTTGGAACTACCGTGATAACTGCAACAATTAATTCTTTTTATTATTTCAATTTTGTTTAGCAGAGTGACGGTTAATGTACTTGTTTTTGTATTGCGTGTTGTGTTTTTTCATTTAATTGTGTATATTGTGACGCGGTACATGTACCATGCTGTGCGTCGGGATTTTGCATTATCAGCAAGTTTTGTGTTAGAGTGTTTTGATGGCAGCGAGGTGACGACAAGAGAAGGTAATGAGTTAGTTGTACAGAAGGAAAATTGTGTTGTGGAGGAAATAAAAGAGGTTGAAATGAGATCTCGTCGTGGAAAATTTATTTATAACAGAACTTACAATTCCATTGGTTTAAATCAGGTTAGTCAGGACAAATTACCATAAAATCGAGATTGTAATTCGAAACTCTCGTTGTTTTCAAAATTTGCACAAATCGGGCGCTGCAAAGACATATTTAGGTTAGGCAAGTGCTTCGAAATACTGTACCTTCAGAACGGCATAGCTTTTACTTGTTGTGCTATATCTTTCAAAACCATCGATCTATTCTTGCTCAAAACCTCTCAAAGCGGCTTTAACATTTAAAAATGTTAAAGCCCGTGGCTGGTTGAAATCGTCTCTTGTTTGTTTTCAAACGATTTAGGATGGATCGAATCGACTTTGGATCGATTATTATTTTATCAGCTTGTGGTATGAAAGAAACGTTTTTCTTCTCGATAAAGTTCATTCAACAAATTTAGAAAGATTTACTTGACTTTTCATATGTGAAACGAACTGACTTTTTTGTGGAACGAACTAACTATTTTATGGAACGATCTGACCATTGATTGGAACGATCTGACTTTGAACGATCTGACCATCGAACGAAATGACCGGTTACCGTCATGCCGACCTAGCAGACTACCAATGAACAAATTAAAATCTTTGTTACAGAAAACACGGAAAGTGACACTTTTTGTATGGAAGAGTATTCGGAAAAATACACCATTGTAGTTTGAAAGTCATAGTTACGTTAAAAATAGAAAAGGTTTACATGCACTTAAACAGGTACAGAAGTAACTGTAACAGTTCGTAAACGAGGGAAGGTGTATCTGTCGTCTAAACATCAAATCACAGGCGATTTAGGTGGAATGAGATATCCAAATAGGCTTTTAAGTAAGAATTCGCCCTTCTGAACATGCAATTATCCATTTTATAGTGCTTACAGTTTGAATCACCAGGTTAATTTTGGCCAATTTAAGCTGTGTACCGATATAGAGAAGAATCCAGGACCTTCAGTTTATGTAGATGCTACAAAAACAATTAATGCTCCATACTGTCAAGGAAATGTTACAGTATTTGGGGAAAATGCTGGACAACAATGTGTCGCAATGAAGTCTGTGCACTTTTATTTACAGTAAGATTACTTCAGTCGATGATATGACTCAAATAATGATTGTTGGTATTCAATTATTATATTCTAGTCTGTCACTGCTTGCAAGACAATCTATGTTAATGTTAACAGAATTGTCAGGAATGGTTACAGTGTTTGAGCAATTTTTCCACCTTAAATACAGTGACAGTTATACTTGTAACATCCATCACTACTGTATATGCCATTCACAGGGTACAGCATTTGAAACACTCTTGGCACTGAACTACAACTCATTCATTTTAACGGTGGCAATTATTGGTGTTGGTATCTACAGCATTGAGGCTGGGGAATATAATGTATTTGATTCTCATGCTAGAGATATGTACCATAACAGTCATAGTGAAGGGACATGTGTATTGTTGGAAATACCATCCATGCATAAATTAGTACAATATTTTCAGACTCTACATAGGAATGAGGATATATATGAACTTAAAAGTGTACATATTGCCACCTTTGAACCTCATCTTTTCTCAAGCAATGTTGAACATTGTAGTATATTAAATGTTAATAGTTACCAATGTTCCTGAAAACAGTGCTGCCGTAGAACAGTTTATGCAATGTGTTACTCTCTTATTAACCCTTGTGGATACTGGATTTAAGGAACTTTATTTGCCCTCATTAGTAACCGGAATACACTGTACAATGTGATGGGTGTGAAAACACATCTGTTAGTATCAGTGGAGCTGAGATAAACCTTACTCTCCGGGCTGTAACCACTTATGTCCCATGTTGCAATTTGGCTCCAAGCAGGTCAGCATTGAAGATGTGCACATTTTCAAACATTGTCATAAAATGACACTATTTTTGTTGTGGATTGGGACATGCTGTATAAGCTGTGTGGTTCAGCAAACAAGTGGAGTAAAGGATTTGCCTTCTCTGGTAAGATATGATGACAGTTCTTTAGCTGCAATAAGGCATGTTCGAAGTATCATACCCCTAGTACGACCACGCCCAAATATACGCTCCCACAGCGTCTTGTTTTCAATAAAATAGTAATAGAAAAATATAACAGATCAGTCTTTGACTTGAGAATTAGTTTTGCTCAGCTAAGGCCCAATAATCCGTTTAAAAAGGACGGAGGCTCCCTGGGACAAGAAAGAAAAGGGAAAGCTGGTATAGTATGTCCCGTTCCGTCAACCAAAAGGCGCAAAATTATAGAGAAAACTGCACTAGAAAAAACATTATCTCCTACCTTCGTTTTGTCATCTTAAATGGTCCACAATTATTTATGAAGCATAAACTCCTTAAAAATGCAATTTAAGTGATGCGTAATTTGCCATTTTTAAACTTAGAACGTGGAAATCCTTCGGGACTGTGAGATCGAGTAAAAGACGGGCTCCAGATGTTCAAAAGGTGGGTAACGTGATCCATTAGATACATTCCTATCCAGTGGATAAACCAGTTGGTTTCCTAAAACTTATTAGCCTGCGAACAGCAGACGCATTTCCGGTCTTCGCTTTTCTCCCTTCCTGCTTTGTTTCTTTAACTGCGCAGAAAGATCAAAATATAATTGTGTTAGTGATTTTGAAAAATAAACGACACTATCTTCTCGATATTTCTAAACAATACACACACGTTCTCTTGAACAGGCTTTTTCGACAGGCTGATAGTGGTGCGAACCAGCACCGTTTCCAAACCAGATTTGTGATAGGCTGGGAAAACAATAGGGATGATGACATAACAAGGCCCTATCCCTGAAAGCAATAAGTAGTGCAGGTTATAGTGACCAATAAAATAAGAGGTTTGGAAGATTGCGGGTCAATAGATCGTTTTCAGTCACGAGGTATGGTCAGCAGCTTTGCAAATTGCTTGGAATAAAAAAAGTTTTAACTTTGTGAAAAGAGGTCAATTCGAACAGGTTTTTTTTTACACAAACATGGCCGCCTATTCATTGTTTTGTACACAAATATGGCCGCCGTGACGTCGTGTGAAAACGGTCTATAGTGATAGCGAATGTGATAGCGTGCTTGTACAATCTCGTTCCCAGGTTCCTCTTTCTCTCCGGGGGCGAGTAAGAGAAGACCCTGGGAACGAGGTTGGTGCGAGGTTTTGAAGCGTTTTTCAGAGACGCACATCAACCGGAAGTGAGCTCCTATCCCTTTAATTTGTCGTAACGCTTCCAAATTTGTATTGTTGAGTGCCCATAATGTCATAAAGATTTGGGCAAAATCATTGCCCAAGAATGAAAACATTCCACTATTTATAGACCCGAAACTCGGATAAACAAACTGAAATTGACATAAGCGAATTCCTCACTTTTGTCTGACTTTTGACATTAAAATGTCATGTTTATCTGTCTTTTGTCATTAAAATGAGGAAAATGACAAAACTTGCAAATTAGTCACTCGTACGTCATCCTCGCGCTTCGCTATTCCTTGTTCCGTTCCTTTGTAATCTGGCGCTTTCTGTCTTGAAATAACGATTTAACACTTCCTGGTTTCCACTTGAATTTTTCTCAGAAAAAACGGTTAGAATTTCTTAAGATAATGTTTCTCCCGCTGAATTTCAGCAAAGTTTGAGGATTCTTAAGTAAAAGTTTGGAGAAGCTTTTAACTTGTAATTATGACGAAAAATTTATATTTATAAGTTTGCTGGTATGTAATTCTACTTATATGAATCATTACAGTAATGAAAAAGGATCAGTTTAGAGCTAAAAAAAATACTCATTACAAACTTTTTAATGGAACATCAGCTTAGTTTCCTTGTTCGTGATAGTGTATTTTTTTTCGTAGCGTGCATGAGAACCCATGACCTCTTAAATACTTCTTGACCTTTATACGTTATAAAACTAAAGTAGTTAAGATAGATCTGCATGTCATTATTTGAGCGTAGAGTTTAAGGATCTGTTCGCTGTTAACGTTAAGCTTATTTATTGTTATAAGTATAGTTTTGGTGTTTATTAATCTTCGGTGAACTCAATATTAGTAGTAACTATATATAGGCTATTTCAAAATTAATCTTTTTATTTAGTTTCAACTGACTGACTCCGTGCATATCGAGCTCTATAGTGTTGTGTTTCTCGTTAATAATTTCTTGACGGTATAAAATTCGATCTTTTTTTTCGTTAATGGCTTTATCGATCCACCATTTAGAGCAAGGACGCTGTAAAACGAGGTGCAAAAACCGTTCTTATCAACAATGGAATAAATCTTCCGGCCCCTTAGCAACAACTTCGCTTACGTCACTCACACTTTAAACCGCAAAGCAGTTGAAGAGTTCTAGAAATTAAGCGAAAGCGAAGAGAGAAAACACGTCTGACAAACCGTCACCTTATCCCGAACAACAACCTCCGCCGGAAGCATATCCTCAACCCGGGTTCGCACCTCAACAGTCCGGCTATCCACAACAACCAGCGTATCCTGTTCAACCAGCCCCTTATCCCGCGGTAAACCAGCCAGGTTTCTCTTCCTCAAACATTACCACTATAATCACTCAACAACCACAAGTAACACATATAATGGCGACGGGTTTTCACGAAGCTCCAATGGCTACGAGCTGCCCGAGATGCTACGCTAGTGTGGTTACGGGGACAAGCTATGTCTCTGGAACCTTGACATGGCTAGCCTGCTTCGGATTGTGCGTAATTGGGTAAGCATTGCCTTATAATTAATCTTCTTGTCACAACGCTTACATCGACTGACTTTATTAACATACTTGAAATGATGCTGTCGTTGCAGGTATTTTAACGCTGCCCTAAGTTTACAAGCCTTAAATAAGTCCATTTTTCAAGAGGGAAACTGTTGTTTTTATCTTATTTCCGCCCCTAAATAGAGTACTAAAGTCATGACGTCATAAAAATGAAATTTCTGAAATTATGGCATTTGTCAGGATATTCTGAAAGAACAACGTCCAAGAGGCCTACTTACCAAAAATGAGCATTTCGGGGCAAATTGTCTCTGAGATGTTAGCCGGTTATACTCAGAAAACTCCATACAAACCCTTCTAATTTTTGGGGGGGTCGACCCCCAAAAAATTTACAGGGTTTGTATGGAGTTTTCTAAGCATAACTGGGCTACGATCTCAGAGACAATTTGCCCCGAAATGCTCATTTTTGGCGAGTAGGACTCTTGGACGTTGTTTTTTCAGAATATCCTGACAAATCCCATAATTTCAGACATTTCATTTTTATAACGTCACACTTTAGTATTCTATTTGCGGTAGCACGTGTGATTGTATTAAAAGCGCGAGCACTAAGAAACTTTCAGTCAAACTCTGTTAAAGGTCGTCAGAGGCCGCCCAAAATTGAGAAAGAAAAATCAGATCGGATAAAGACGACTACCCTTTTACTGCGCTTTTCACAAACATGCGAACTCTAAAGTTCAAAAGCCGCCTCACAATTGCGTTTTTCGCTGCCGTCAATCATAATTACGATCACAAGCAACGAACCTTGAAACACAGAAACACACAAAATGGATCGAAATCCACAAATCACAAATCACAAACCTTGACCCTTTGAACCCGTTAAAGTAAAGTTTTGTTTCCTAAGGGGTCCGTTAAGATGATTGACGGCAGCGAAAAACGCAATCGTCAGTTGGCTTTTGAACTTCAGAATTCGCATGTTTGTGAAAAGCGCAGTAAAAATTTTTCTTAACCGACTGGCTCAATTATTTCAAGTTCTTATTGCTGGTTTTCAGTGTCACGCAATTCAAAATAGATCAAAAATAAAAATCAAAACCGTTCAAAAGATTAAGTCCAGAACCTGGGAAATGAAAGGAGGTACATATACAAACCCTCGTCGATATTCAGGTCAGAGGAATATTTCGTATACGAGATATCTGAAAAAATGTTTTACCCAAACTTATAGAGATTTGTATGGAGACACTATGCTGGTGCTCACCTGGATGAGCTCCAACATGGCGCACGGAAACCAACAGAAACATCTGTTAACGAGTTTTGCTACAAAAGCGTGAATTTATTCTTCGAGAAACTCATAAACATTTAAGTAATACTTTTTCTAATACACGAGCTGTTTAGATAGGAAAATGTCCTGAAATAAGTCATTTTTTAACCTACATGACAGCTCTCTTGGCCGTCATGTAAATGCCGCGTCACGTAAAGGCTTAGAAATTCAAGCGTACTCTATCACAAAACCAAGAACCCCTTTGAAGCGAAACTTTGTATGAAAATTAGTTTTCAGCTGCTCTAATGCATCGTGAAAGTAAAATCTCGTTAGGATCGATAGTTTTTTAGTTTGAATTTTAGTGACGTCATGTGAAAACCAACAATAATCGAGTTCTTTCCTTTAAAATTTTTTATTTGGTTTCACCCTCGCTTTTATATACGTAAAAACATAACGTCGGCAAAAACAATGACGATAATTATCGTTGGACCTTATAAAAATTCTAAACCAAACTGTTTTCACTTTGCATCAAATAATACTTTTATGTTGCATTTTTTCTTAATACTGTGAAGTTTATGAAAAAGGATTGACAATTTTTGGTAGAAAATAAGCACTTTATATGTTTTGTCTCTCACTATATGAGAAGAAGTTGAGTTTGAGGCAGCATGATTTAGCGTTTTTAACTCACGCGAGCGAATAACACTTGAGGCTGTCCTGATGCTTTGTCAGGCCCGCATGAATGTCTGTAGAACATCCAGCAGCCTGTGTAGACTAAACGTGCAACATTGCACTTTAATTAAAGCTCATAAACAGGAAAATCTAGGATAATACTTGCTACTGAATTTTTAAAAGGCTTATCGCCTTCGCACAACAAAAACATCACATCGGTATTACTCCAAAACCTTTTTAATATGCATATATATTTTTGCATAATTCCCCTCTTGTCATAGACTATTGATACGTGACAAGGAAAAAGATGAACTCTGAACATCTGAAGTCTTGTGAATTATTTTACAAATCAGCAAACTTATACAGTGAAAGCTGAAAAAAGTGGAACTTAAATAAAGAGAGAGATTTTGTTTAGATGACACACGGAAATCCATAAGTCCCGATTTTTGGTCCCACAATATCTATGAAAATGGATCTCTATTTTCGCTTCACTAAATATGGTTTCACTTGTATATCATGATGGAAATTATCAATGTATATGAGTGATAAACTTAACGAGTGTTGATCCTTTGATAGATCTTTTAAAGAAACTGATTCTGAATCAATGGCCCGACCTGAGATGTTACCCCTCCAAAAACCAGAACTAAAAACCATGAATTCTTCTTTTGTAAATAAATGAATAAAGTAATGAGAAATAAATCGACTGTTTACGTATGCTCGGTCAAAATACCATATCATTTCTGACAGTCAAAGTTCTACCCTCTGATATTCGGCAGTCTCCCGTAAGCGACGACCAAATGAGGAAATTTTGGCTGGTCGTTCACCGTGTGGAAAGCTTGGGGTTCAACCTTAATTTCATAAGACAATTGGTTAGAGCGCTGCACCGGTATCGCAGAGGTCAGGGTTCCGGATTCCCGGCAAGCTTGAATTTTTTCAGAAATTGTTTGGCAACTGCATAAGTTGCGTTTTTAACTGCGATGATCTCCTTTACATTTAATACTCTCCCTCGGTTCCAATATTTGAAATTCATATATTATTATTTCAAGGCAGTTTTTGTCCTTTTATAGATGTGACGCTGGATGTTGCCTCATTCCATTCTGTCTTGACTCCATGAAAGATGTCATTCATGTCTGCCCAGCTTGTGGCACTCAAATTGGAGTGTATCGCCGAATGTGAACTCGATCAATCTTCGATCTTCCACGTCAGGGACAAGTAAATAATGAATAAGCCATTTCCAAGTTAATTGTTTCAAACCTCTGTTTCAAAGCCAGGCAAAAGGCCGAAGCCATTGATATGAAATAATTTTTTTATTCTCATGCAAATAAAATTCATTTTCACAAGAAAGGTTTTGTAGTAGCCACGTTTTGAAAGTTAATTTTTTTTGTTAGTCGTAGATGGCCTACGCACCAGGTTTTAAAGTGAGTCTAGCACTTTCTGTTGACTCCTGGTAACCAAGTAGTCAACGATATCTTTTCAAAATAACAAACTGCTTTGTAAATAGCCTTTGCGGTTATTATAACTTAGCGAACTATTTAGTTTTTTTTCTTCTTTTCGTCCTCATTCTTTGCTGTGTTCCATTACTTCCGATAACTGATTTATGATGTTTGTAACCTTCGATATGTCTTTCGGATTGAGCATGGATTATATATTATTATTACCATAGTTATTATTTTTAGGGAAACATTGTGAATAATCTAGAAACTCAATTAACTTGTTTATCTAGGAACGACTCAGTAAATCAGTACGTAATTTAATTGTTATTAGTATTCTTACTACCATTGTTTATAGCTCATAAGGAAAAAAACTTCTTCGTGTACAAACTTATTAAAGTAAGGCTCTGTTTGTATGGAGTAAACCTGTTCGGGGTAGAAGGGTCAATCTCCCATGTAGCCGAGTCAAGTTAAGCGAGCATTTATATGCGAAAAAGGCTTGACCTGGCTGGGCGAGTCAAAGTGTTTATATGGAGAAAAGTTGCATAGCTCGGCTATAAGGTGACTCTTATACGTTTCTGGGAAACTGCATGCCTACCTACCCCTCCCTTTAGCCAACATTTTGCCCTAAGTGAGAAGTAAGTGTCAATGTTAGCTTAGGTCGGGGTAGGGGTAGGTGGGCAGTTTCCCATAAATGTGGAATGATCCTGTTACCCAGATAGGCGGATCACCCTTGAGCCGAGCCAACATTTTGTTCTTTTGTAAACGGATCGTCACGTTTTGTCAGGAAATGCATGAAAAATTGGATCACCCAGGGTAGATCGGGCAGATGGGTGACCCTTCTACCTGGAAAAACTTTCTTCCGGTCAAGATGTACAAAAGTATTTTCCCTTTTTTTTTTCGCACAAGAATGGCCAGTTTATAGCAATCCTGTACGTTTAACTAAAGTTGTAACTGTAGTTTCTTCGATCTTTCTCGCATTACAAATGAAAAGCGATAAATAAAGTCCATCTTATTCGTAAGGGTGAAAGTTCTCCATTTTGCATACCATGTTTCTTAATTAATGCAAATAAAGCGGCAATTTTGTTTGTATTATTTTGTTTTCTAATATTAGAGAGACTTGTTGTGCGGCGATAGTCCGTAGTGACAATAGCTTTATAAGACACCTTGAAACATTCATCATGTGTCATTATTATACAGTTGTAACATCCCGGTGTTTACGTAAAAAATAATACAAAAACTAAATACACTTTTAGCAGGCACGTAATCTGCGACGTTCTTAGCAAGCTGGCTTTGCCGGGATTAGCATTTCTTTTCCGCGGCGGTTTTAACGGCATTACAAACTTGACGACGTTTAATCACCGTTTAGCAAGCTTGCTCAAAGATTGCATCGAGATTTTACGTTACCGTCCACCTTATTTTTACTCAGTTTTACTCAACTTTTGTCAAAACAACTTTGAGTTTNATATTAGAGAGACTTGTTGTGCGGCGATAGTCCGTAGTGACAATAGCTTTATAAGACACCTTGAAACATTCATCATGTGTCATTATTATACAGTTGTAACATCCCGGTGTTTACGTAAAAAATAATACAAAAACTAAATACACTTTTAGCAGGCACGTAATCTGCGACGTTCTTAGCAAGCTGGCTTTGCCGGGATTAGCATTTCTTTTCCGCGGCGGTTTTAACGGCATTACAAACTTGACGACGTTTAATCACCGTTTAGCAAGCTTGTTCAAAGATTGCATCGAGATTTTACGTTACCGTCCACCTTATTTTTACTCAGTTTTACTCAACTTTTGTCAAAACAACTTTGAGTTTACCCGGTTTGCACCACAAATTTGTTAGTCTTGACAACGAAGTCCAACAAACCAAGGCGAGACCCTTCAATATTCCACAGCTCGTGGACGGCAAGTTTTCGCAGTTTTTTCCCATTTTACTTCAATGCATTCACAGTTACATGTCAACAGAATTTCAAATCGTTGCTTGAAATGGTTAAAATGGAGGACGATGATCCATCTCAGTGCTCGAGGTACCTCGTACACACCAATCCCGCAAGGAGAGAATTTGCTAAAAGGGCGTGATGATCTGATCCATTTTAAAAAGCGTCGAATTTGAAAAACTGCCTTCAGCTTTCTTTAACGACGAAAGCACAAGCCTTTGTGCGTATTGCAGTGTTATTTCGCGAGGCCAAAGCAAACAGTGTGGTGATGATCTTGAGAGTTATTATTAGGACGTCGCCCAAATAGAGTAATCAAGTTCGCTTGTTTTGAGTCAAAGTTGCAATAGGCACGCAATACGTGGGAACGTAGCCAAGTAAACAAGCCAAGCGACGCGAATGTCTGTCGCGCGCCGCGTCACAACACAGCGCACAGAGAAGCAATGCGCATGAACAGTGTGTTACCCGCTGTCCTGTTTCTCGCTTGGGCCATTCACCGGGCCGCCCAGCAAGCGTGATTACCTAGAAAATTTCCACGCGGGATCATCATAATACTGGGATCCCAGCTAACAGGGCTGGCTCAGTTGTCATATAATCGCAAAGATGATTTTTGTTGCGTTTAACTAACCCCGCATGCACACAAAATTTCGCACCCCGAACACCTGTAGAAGGCCTAAATGTAATGAACGACCCTAAATGCAATAAAGTCCAAAATGTAAAAACATTTTGTCCTAAATGTAATAAAGTCCTAAATGTAATAACATTATGCCCTAAATGTAATAAACTCTTAAGTTGCAAATTACCGTAATTACTCAAATAAGCCCCGCATTTGTGGGGATTTAATAAGCACCGCCGCGCTTATTCGCGTAAATACCGTACTAAGAGGTATTACTATGGTTTTAAGCGCCGCCCTCAAATAAGCGCCGCAAATATACGCTCCCACAGCGTCTTGTTTGTTTCAGATATTTGCTCGGCCCCACTAGCATAAGTGCTATAAATACTGCCGAGGGTAGATAAAGGAAATCGTTATGGACATTCTGTTTTGTCTTTAATTGTCCTGCTTATTACCCGCGTGAACCCTGTATGTTTTTCTTATCATCGTTACGTTCACTATGTACGCGCACTCCGTCTGCTTTTTAATGTTTCGTTTGTCTTTGAGCGCAATCTGTTAGCCTTTCATTGTTTCTTGTATTAAATGTGTATTTTACCTTTTTTTGTCAGGTTTGTTACTTAAGTGCTCTGAGTTTTGTCTTTAACTGGTACGCTTATTTTTTGCGTGCTCTTTTATTTGCGGTTCATGGTTTAATTGTTTACTTGTTCTCTTTCTGTTTCAGAGTTATACCTTTTTACTTGTACTCACTGTCTGCTCTGTTTTTAGTTATAATTATGACAAGATTCTCCGGTCTTGTTGAGTATTGGCAGCCTTAAGGTGGCTCAATGGGTTTTTTCGGGGTCGATACCTCCCAACTTTGAGCATCAACTAAATCGTCATTAACAAAGATTTGTTACGATCAGTGTTACAATGATATCGAAGTTGTCATAACAACGAAATGGCGCCATATACCTATTTTACTTGCAGCCGTATTTCCCGGCACTGAGAACTTTTTTCCAAAGTGCTCACTGGAGATTTTTCTCCAAGAGGCGTTCATTACCTCGTAGTATGAGAAAATCCGGTTTAAATGTAGTATTAGGATGCACGTAGCATACCAGTGGTCCAAAATACCGGCAAAAGAGATTTGCAACAAAACTTCTGAGAGTTCTCAACAACCTGGAATACGGTCGACCGAACGCACCTTAACCATCCTTAAAAAGTAAAGTCCTTCTTACGGTATGTCACAAATGTTAGGTCAGGGTGTGTCAAGGCGTGTGACTCTTTTAGATTTCTCAAAGCTAAGAGGCGTTACAGTTTCGGGCGTGAAGTTCAGGGACAGTTTAACAGGGTTCGCACTCTTCTGAGCTCTTCAAATTCCATGACCTTTTTAAGTTTTCTTAGACCTTAGGTTTAGCTGTCACTTTAAAAATTTTTGAGGACTTTCCCTGTGTTAGGGTATTTTTGGACCTTAAACAGTTCAATAGACACAAACTCTGAAGTTATGAATATATATACAAACTCTGGTGTCCACCAAAATGCGTGCCGTTCGCCCTTTTCAATCAATTCTCTCTATCTTACATTGTCTTTGCCTTGTCATCAGCAGTAACTAATCTATCAAACAAAACTTTAATTTTCCATGACCTTCAAGGACCGACTATTGAATTTCATGACTTTCCAGGCCTGGAAAATGAAATGTTTAAATTCCATGACTTTCCAGGTTTTCCATGACCTGTACGAACCCTGTTTAAGGTCTTTCCCATCCTCTGCCTTTGTTAGGGTACCCCTAACACTTTGTTCTATCAATTCTCTTTGTCCAATCAAATGGTTCCCACCACTCGGCAAGCTGCAAGACCTTTTTCTTATGTTCTTCAAAGTTCTCTCGCCTTGGTTTTCTCCACCTGCGCGGTTCAAGATCTAGCATCCCTCCTAAGATTTCTTTGCCAAAGTAATGCGGGAAAAGTTCTTCGTCCTCAATAACATGGGCAAATCCCCCGTCCAAGCCGAACTCTACGCTAAAGTAAGGAAGTCCCTTGGGCACTGCCCCGCGAAGTCCTTTCTTTCTAGTATCTATTAATTTCTTGTTTTGCGCCCATTCTGATTCCGATTCCATGATAGCTTTCTGTTAGTAAAGAATGTAAGGAAAGTGTTATAAAAGCTTACAAATAGAGGAATTTTTTTCTAGGTACATTAACGACTTGCTGATCTCCTTAACAGTTAACAAAGATTGCAATCAGGAACATTTTCTTCTTCAAGTGGGATTTTGCAAAAAATGCTCAGTATGCTGTAAATAAGAAAAAACGTCCACTGATACAAATTCCACTTTGTTTTCCCTGTGTCACCTTTTAGACCTACCTTGAAGTAAACAGGAGACATTTCCCCGATTTCTTTGGGCATCGGTATACACTCCATAATCATGTGATGTTGTTTCTTTAACTGTTTACAAGTTTCCAGGAAAACCACGTCCTGTTCCTGTTGGAGAAGAAAAAGTCATTATAAAAACAAGACAGAGTGATTTCTTTTTTCTGAGTTACTTGCATCACTGACTGAACAAAACTCAGTCTCGTGTATTTTCCAGGCTTGAAACTCACCACCACATTATATCACTGCAAAACATAAGGTCAACTCCCGATAACTCGAACCCTCGCTAACTCGAACCTCGCGGTAACTGGAACCCAAATCGATTTCCCCTGGATTTAATTTATACATTTACTGTAATTTTACCCTCGGTAACTCGAACCCTTGATTACTCCAGCCTCCCGCTAACCCGAAGTAATTTTGCTTCCCTTCAGATGAGTTTTACATAATTTTACCCTCGATAACTCGAACTATGTTAAGCGCGTGACAAATCGATCGAAAAAGAAGAAAAGTGTGTACTGCAGTCCGAAACATTGAATTTAATACTTCAAAACAACTGTATATTCTTCGAGCAAACAAATAACGGAAAATAATTGTGATAAGCTGCGGCACTTTAGAAAGTAAGTAAGGGAATGTTCAATAAAAAATAATGAACAGAAGTGCCGTGTTGTGGTTTGAGTTCCTTTCCAAATGTTTCGGGCCTGGCCCTTCATCAGTGGAGTTACAAGTACTTCGGTAACTCCACTGATGAAGGGCCAGGCCCGAAGCGTTGGAAGAGGAACTCAAACCACAACACGGCACTTCTGTTCATTATTTTTTGTTTTATATTCTTTGTCTTAACTGTTTGGTCATCAGCCCAGTTTAAGTACAGTGTCCAGCCCTGTATATTAATGAAGCTATGCTGCCTAATTCCTTATTTCCGGTTACTAGCGTCGAACCTTCGATAACTCGAACTTTTCTAGACTTCCCTAGAAGATTCGACTCATCGGGAGTGACTGTATGACCTATCGATTATTCCATTCCAAGAAGCGCGCAGGCTGTTTGTCGTCTCCTGTAGCCCAGTGGTCGAGTATCTGGACTGGTATAAGGGAGGTTATAGGTTTGACTCCCCTTTGGAGATCTTAGATTCCTTTTTTTTCAGTCGCCTTTTCTCTGAGTAAAAATCATTCTCAAACCCAAGGGTTTAAAAAAATAACGAGCTATACATTTGAAAGATAAAACGCTTTAGTTCCCACTAGGCTGGATTCAAAGTTTCTGTGGTACTTGATTGTTCGAATAACGATAGCGCGCAATTCCAGGCGTTGAAACCATAGATTTTAGTTGCACGAAATAAATAAGAGTTGTCGACTCTTACCATTTCTTCAAACATCTTGGTTAGGCCTTTTTTGTAAATCTGCGGCGAAACAAATTTTAACAGGATTAGGTTAATAGTGGGGCGACAGATTATCTTGTCGCTAGAAAGGAGAGATAGACTAGACCTTTAAAGAGCACGTGTAGAGCGTCTTTTCTATTCTTTTCTACAAGATGTCAGAGTATCTATCCCGTTCCACATAGGTTTTCAAGCCCTTAGTTTCTTTATTTCCAAAAAAGCAAAAAAACACAAACAAAAACATAAGCTGGATTTGAAAAGAACATAAAGGTGTGTAAACGAAAACGCATGCGCAAACATTCATTCGCCACTTTAGAAACGAGAAGGAAACAGGGGCGAATTAATCTTCGCAAAGACTTCTGGGACTGTAACTGGGGACAGGGCAAACAAATTGGCCAATAGCTGAACGGCACGCTCCCAGTAACGATCCCATAATATAATAAAAACCTGGATTTCACTGCACACGTCTTCATCCAGGAGAGTAGAAGCTGAACAGTGCTGCATCGGTATAATTAAACAATGACCTTCCGTCATTGACTCGTGAAGAGGGACTGCCAAATAAACCTAGAAAAACAAAGTAGGTTATCCGGTTGAATATAAATGTGTGTACCCACTGTATCTTCTCTTGCAACAAAAGCTAAGAAAAGTGCTTTTAAGCTGCGGTTGCTCATTACTAACCGTCGTGAAAGTCTACTTCAAAAAGTTCTACGCGTTTGAAAACTGAACTGTAGAATTTCCAGCACCATTTAGTGCAAACAAATTGCAACTAAAGCGCGAAGACATTTAGAAGAAAAACCTCATTACGTTGAAAAAGCTAAAGATCACTTCATTTAGTAGCTATTTTATACACCCTTTTCCATGTTTTCCCCACACAAGCATCGACCCTCATCTTTAGCTCATCTGAAGGACGTCATCATAACGCGTTTGGCATGGCTGCGCTCATTAAAGTCAAATCTATCAGGGCTGGAAATGACACCGCCCCTCCTCCTTACTCTGCTATCTCGCGCTCCCTTTCCGCGCGCGTTATGAAAACTACAGCGTATGAGTCAGCCCCCTCCTCCCTAATCCCCCTCAAGCTAATCCCCGTTTATAATCCCAAATACAAATATACTCTATTTGCCTTTTAAGTGATACTGGAAATACACCTAATCAGGCTCTACACTCTACATAGCCTTTCACTGGACCGCGTGCTTTCGGTTCGCTTCTCCCCCACCTCCAAGTGGCACACAGAAGCCAGAAAAATACTTTAGGGTAAAGAGTCCTTATTTTACGTCGGTAGCTCGAAATAGTCATCTGACTAACAAACATGAGGCCGACGGTGCGCCCATTTTAACCCCTACCCCACCCCCCCTCCATCAGTGCTCCGTTTTACGGGTATTTAAAGCTACTTCAAGCTACACTGAAAGGAAAGAAGTCGAAAAAAGGGTCTGAGGTCACATCTGGAAATTGAACCCGGGATCTCTTGCACAGAAGGCTGCACACTAACCAACTCTACTAATACTTCCTCCTTGCAAAGCCTCTTGTCCCCCAGCGAAGAGGAGGTGACACGTACGCCCTTACCGTAAACTGCCACTTATAAGCCATTCGTAAGGAGTTTAAGGAGGGCTTATAAACGGAGGGGTTTACAACCGGATTATTAAAAACACTTTCAAACGACGAGCTATAGCAGTGCTGACTATCAAAATAATTTCTGCCTTTGCTGGCTTTTAAGTGAGCTTTAAAACGTACGTTCACTCAAAATAAATCGACATCATTGCAATTCAGATTGAGGGGGTGGGGGGGGGGGGCCTAAATTTTAAAGGGGTTTAAAATCGGGTTGTAAAAGCGGATTTTTTTTTTGCGGGTGGCTGGCCCTTTAAAAGTGGGGGTTAACAAGGTGAATAAAAAAATTTTCCCACTGGAGGGGGGGCGAAATGTCTCTGTTGCTTTGAAAGTTTGCGCCCGCCCGCAAAAATGGAGTCTATCCCTCCACAACCACCCTAGTGTGTGGATTGGTTGTGTGGTTATGATATGTAGCGTTGTGCCGCTATATTCTGTAGAGGCTTATAATCGTGTAATAAAATCGTATTTTTTGCTTGCAGGTGGCTGAGCCTTACAAAGTGGGCGTACACAAGGTGAAGTAAGAAATCTTCTCACTGGAGTGGATGCGAAATGTCTCTGTGTCGTTGAAGAGTTTGCGCCCGCCTGAATATCTGAATATCTGACTACACATGCACTCAATCAGTATTGTAAAAGAATAAATTATTTTTTCGGGGCGGGGGGAGGGTTAGGCATTTTCTCTCTACTACCGTGCCTCAGATTGATTAACTCATTAGTCGGTGAGTCAGACGCAATCAACCTTGTCTGTGTCATTCGATCTAAAGAGCAATCAATCAATCAATCAATCAATCAATCAATCAATCAATCAATCAATCAATCAATCAATCAATCAATCAATCAATCAATCAACAAATCAATCAATTAATCAATCACTTTATCAACAAGTCTGTCAGTTTGTCAGTTAATGTCTACTTTCCAAGTTACCTTGAGACCGATAGCAATAATAAGGTGTTTTGCGATGTCCGGGTTTTCAAAGCAGAAGCGACATTTCGCCAGCTGCGCAGCCAAAATCTTATGCTCTGGAAAGAAAACCACAACAACAACTTGAATTAAAACTTCTATGAAGCGCCATACATATCAGTTCACAATAACAGAGCGGGTATTTCGGGCATTGCTAAAGGAACCAAGCGGTAACGGGTACCTTTGGGTCAGAACCACGGTCTTTCACGAACCAAACCAAACAAAATGATCCTAAGATAAACACAATTTCTTAACCTTTTGTTACAAAAAATTTAAGTTTTAAAACGAAAAACCGGGCGTGTAGCCCAGGGGTGCTCAGAAAGTTTTTTTTCGCTGGAAGGCTCCGCCCCAAGCTCCAACTACTTACCCTTTTATACACCATTTTTGACATAAAAGGTACCCCTTTCGTTTACCTTCTATCGACAAATGGTACCCCTTTCACATACCTAGTTTAGAAATTTGCATCCTTTTTAACTTTTGTGAATGCACTGTCTTCTAAATGTGAATAAATTACAAAACCAGAAAGTTTTCCCGACTCTTTCACAGCCATAAAATGCATTTGCTAGTCCTTTTGGGCCTTTTTAGAATGACCGAAATGACACATTATCCCTACCCTTTCATATACTTCATCCACACAAATGAGTTATCCTTGACGAGTTTTCTTTTCTTCAATTCTTCTTCATGTTTTTCACTTTACACGAGGAAGTTTTATCAAGGGAAACTTTAAAAGAAACCATGTTTGTGTTAACAGGACTTTAGTTTACTCCTTTTTGTTACGAAACTTGATGCCAAAAATTCTGAAAATCATTGCGCAATAAAAGAAAACCCCTTTCCTCCGTGAACTGGGATTGTTTGCCAAAGTCGAAACACCCGGGTGTTCACAGTCATGCGGAAGTGAAGACTTCAGAAAGCATGGGAACAGGACTGTTGCGAAAATTTCAAGTTGCCGGGTATATGCAATTATTAGGAGGGGAATTGTCCAGATAGGAAGTTCTTTTGGTTCTGTTTTCCTTTTGTTTCTTACAAGAGAAGCCGGGGCTCAGGCTCATAGTAACCGGGCAAAATCCCCGGCCCCCGGCTCTTAGTGAAGGCCCTGTGGGAATATGATAGATAGATAGATAGACAGATATTCTGTTTATTTCACCCACTTGCAGTAATAACTGAATAGTTGGGGAAGGTCATTGTCACATACAATTAACCATTTACATACATTCACTGAAATTTATAAGTTACAAAGTCATTAATTCTTCTGGTATGACCATGTTGACGTCTTGGAAGTTGGACCCTTATACTGTAATGAGACTCAATAGCGGCAGGAGAGGGGATACCTATTTGATGTTAATTACATTCAATAATACCTCTGATTGCTTTTTGTCTTTCTCGTTCTTCTAACTGGGCGGGAGAAATTTTATTGGCGGCAGAGGACACAAAGTGATCATCTAACGTGAAGTCATCCGACCCTGCTCCCATTGAAGCCTATGGTGGATAATAAGAAAACGAAAAAGAAAAGGTTAAAATGTGATTTACGCGAAGTTCAAAGTAGAAGAAAATTAAATGAACTACAATCATGGACAAAAGTCTTGGGACACTTGCATTTCTGGGCGTTTTCCAATTCACACAGGCCCAAGCCCTCCCCTAACCCCACAAACAATGTTGCACGCGTGTATCCAGAATTTTTACTTTGTATAGGGTGGGGGGACGGAAAATCAAAAGGATGCTGACAGCACTGTCTTATGAGGGACTCAGAATGACAGAAAAATATGAATATTGCATTACTGTCCCCAAAGACCTTTTGTCACTTTGTTCTTGAGTAGACTTGTATTGTTTTCTTCAAGAACAAAACATTTATGGAAGGAGACAGTGGCAAATGCTTGGTCAGCTACAAACAGAACCATGAACAAATTAAACGCCAACGTCAGTTTATTCTTCATAGTTAGAGACTTTAAGCGACAATAATTTTACATTTTTGCCTACTAAAGTAAACATATTCATACCATTCTCTGATCAAGCTTATGCACTTATGTCTCTGAATATTGTGACAGACAATAGCAATGTTAGTAATTGCCGAAAAGTTGAGGCGGACACTCCAAATAACGTCAAGAGAAAGTCTTTTAAAAAGTCGAAATTTTACCACAAATGGACGACTCATAAACGTGTTTGCTACCCAACAATTTTACAGTATTTGATAACTGCAATTTCCTTTGATATTGACTGAAGAGAATTAAAAACTGCATACATTGTTCAGCGCTTTCAAATTTTGAGTTTATTTTGTACGTACGGCAGTGCCCTCTATGGCTTGACTCGTATGTTGATGAGCAAAATTTAAACAACGACTTCAACCGCTGCCTGTTTAGCTCAGTTGTGATAGCACCGACCTACTGAGCGGGTTCAACCCCGGCCGGACCAACACTCAGGGTCTTTAAATTACTAAGAAGAAAGTGCTGCCTTTGCAATAACATCTGGAAACTGTTAGACTTTCTAGTCTTTTCGGATAAGGACGAAAAACCGTAGGTCCCGTCTCACAGCACTTACACCTATCTGATACGTTCTTGTGGGAAATAAAAGAATCCACACAACTGTTCGAAAAGAGTAGGGGATGCAGACCACGGTGATGTGGCCAACCTGGGCTGGGTGGGTGATCTGTAAGGAGAGATCTTAATATAGGGATAACTCATGATCCCCCTTCAGATGTCGTAATGGCTACCTGTACTAAACAAGTGGCGGATCCGGGGGAGGGTCCCGGGGGCCCCGGGCCTCCCCCTTATTCTTTGACCTAACTGAGGCCCGAAGGGCCGAAAAAATTGGGGGGGGGGGAGTCCGCCCCCCCTCCCCCCCGCCCCCTTACGTAAGGCTCTAGATGACTGCCTTCCCCTCTCCCCCATCTCAAGGTCTGGATCCGGCACTGTAAACAGTGTATGTATGTAACAAAGACTCATCCATATACAGTCAAAGCTCTAGTTAGCGATCACCTCGGAAAGTGGTCGCCGGTAACTTGACAGCTGGTCGCTTACAGCATTGAGCCCTAATAAAACAATAGACGCAGATCGCTTACGAGAGCTTGAAAACAAAGGAGAAGCCCAGTTGGGTAATCCCAAAAGTGGTCGCGGTCGCTTACGATAGCTTTTCATTACAAAGTTCAAGCCACAGTTCAAACAGGGCTCTACAAAGGTGATCGTAACTAGAGCTTGTCGCTTACGAGAGTGGTCGCCAGGAGAACTTCGACTGTAACGCATTGTTACGGTTAGTGTGAGTTTGCTTACCTTTGAAGATAGTCTCGCCATCATAGCATTATGATCCTCAGCCGTTCGCATTTTTTCTCGTCTGACCATTTCTTTTAGATCATATCTGTCATCATCTGCAAAATACCGCTCTCTCTTGCCTTCTTTATCGTGGGTATCCACCTGCAGCAGATAAACATCAATTTAAAGGGGCTTTGTCACGGCTTACTTGTTCATTTTGTTTGTGGATGCCAGTTACGCCTCCTTATTCGCGATGAAACTTGAGAAATTACTTTTGAATGACAAAATTACTGCTTCGAGTCAAGCAAATATGTTACCCGAGCTAAGCATATATATCAAACGTTACAAACAACAAAACTAAACTTTGAAAAACTGTTAGGTGAACACGTATTCAAAAACCACAAGTGCAATCCGTTTCAATCTTCTTCAAATTTGTATATCCGTGCTTCCTTTATTTTTTGCTATGTCATTTATACCTTCTTTTAACGTTCTGAGCGGTTATATTGATGTTTCACTCAATAGACCTTTTTACCGATACAGCGGCCATATTGAATTAATTCGATTTAAGGAGTATTATAGGATGCCCAGGGGGCATGAGCACATTTCGTTTGTATTTTCGAGCTCTTTTCGGGTTTTTTTTTTCCTTAAAGTTTTAGAATAAAATTGTAATGGGAAAAAAGATCCTTGTGCCGTGTTTGGATTTAATAATGATCGCCTTTTTCTAGTTTAGTATTAGAAATATGGTCTTTCACTGCATATTTCTCGGGAAAAAGGCGATCATTGTTACCATGAACGTTTGTTTAGTAAAAAGTTCTAAGTGTTTGAAAACTGGAACTGGTGTTGCTGCCGGCGCCATTTGTCAACAGAATCTTGACTCGGTCACGATGCGTTTTTAGCAAGAAAGAAGCTTATTATTTCGAGGAAAATGAAAAGATAGTCGTAGAAACCAATTCTTTCATACATCCTGATCAATGTTTTCACTTAATAGTGAATAAAATCCCCCTAAATGAAATAAAATAATAATTAAAAAAAAAACGCCTCAGACGCTTGACCGCGGTGAACCTAAGTGTAGGAATCGGCTGTGCGCATGCGTAAGGTTGTACCTACAACACGACTGCGAGGATGATATGGGTAATAAAGTGCTATTCACTGACTTTTGGTTCAAATTCATTTTATCTTTTCCGGAATGCAACCTCAAAGTTCGTTTTTTCTCCCACTCAGATACTCACCTTCTGTCGCTTCTTCCGTTTTCCTCGGTGCTCTCGTTCGGTTGTCATTTCTAGTAGTCTGATGTTACCGGCTGCGTCTGTTCGTGTTAGTACCACTATCTCTTCACTGCGTCCGCTATCTCCACTCTCCAAGGCTTGGGATTCCTGAAGTTCTTTGGTCTTTCTCATTTCCTCCAACTGGGCTTTTAGTTTGACTGCTAACTCCTTTGACAAGAAGAAACACATTGAGTATTGCCCTACTTGACGAGACGAACGAGGCAGCGATGGACTTCCTATCCGGAGGTTACGAGTTGAAGCCCCACCCTAACTTCTAGTTGGATTTATTCTCGGGAGCCCATTTCCAGGTTGACTCGAGCCTCTTTCAAAACGAGACTACTGGCGAAATCTTCGATATGATGACATTTTTTATTCTCATAAAAGTAAAACTAATTTTCACTTCAAAGGTTGGTCCCATTTTCAAAGTGAGGGTTTTGGGACTCGCAAATTATCTAATCAGTTAAATTCGTACGATGTTCGTCCCAATGCTCAAGTGATCTACAAATACTACTGCTACACCTTAATTGATTTTTAAGTTGTTTGTCAGGAAAAAGGATTTGAAAGTGAGCAATACGCACATCGTTTCCCATGATTTCCGCCTTTACAATTTTGGCTCCAATTTCGTTTAAATCTGCTTCGGTTATTTTCTTAGCAGGGATGACAACTTCCTTCTTCTTTTTCTCTTCTTCTTCCGCATCAGAACGCGAGCTGCTGTCGGTCCCAGAATCTTCACTTCCATCCTCGGTCTTCCGTTCTTTTTTTGTACTCTCCGCCTCACGAGCCGAGGAGCTTTCCACCGTTCCAGTCTCCATCTTCTTTCTCCATCCGCCAGACGGCCTGGAAACTGATCTGTCCTCTCTGCTCCGGGACACTTCTTTCGGCTCAAAGTCCCATGTTGATGACGTCACGGTAGACGTTGACGAAGCTGGGCGTCTGAACTTACCAGCAAACGAAGAGCTATAAACACAATGGAAAATGACAGTTTCAGATTAAGAGTACGATACCTGTGCAAAGGTAACCCTGTGGAATCTGAATCAAGCTTAAAGTTTATCCGATTTATGACGTTCTGATAGAGTGGTTTTCGTTTGAGTGTCGTAAAACCAAAACCAAAGTAATTACTCTGGCCAATCACATAGGACACAGACAATACATTGAACCAATCAAAACTCGAAGTTAAATGCATGCGAGCGCGTCACAATTGGCTTCTGATTGGGTGAAAAGGTGGCGCGAATCTTTTAAGCCAATCGCATCGTGTAGAAAGTGCAAAACCAATTACTTTTCGACACTCAAATGAAAACCGCTCTATTGTAGGAGGCCTATGCAAATGTAACAGACCTGTGCGACATAATAGAGCCGAATCTAAATCAAGTACTGAGATAACCAACGGAGAACGTCATTAAGACGTGTTGGAATGACTTTCTGATGTTTTCCGCAAAGGATGAAGTAATCAAAATTCTTCCCTTTAAGATAAACGCTCCTTTCTAATATGCCACAAACAAAAAGAAAGTTACCAATTTTTCAATTATATTTCTTCCTTCTGTCAGTTCTTCGTTTTCCTGAACAGCCACAAAACCATAGCCAAGTAAACGATTATCTGCCAAAATTCTTTAACACCGGCAAAAAAAAATAAGAATCATTGAAATCTGATAGCCCTCTAGCTCCAGAGCTCTGTGCATACATTTGTTCTAAGCAAGATTCGTCAGTTAATGTACGTGTACTTCAAGTAATAAGAATTACCTGCTGTCGATATCAGAGGGTCGTAGAAACGTTCTACTGTCATTTCTCTTTCTCTCTCTATTGTCATCGTCTCTCTCTGGTCTTTTTCTCCATTTGTCGTCCTCTCTATCTCTGCTGGATCTGTGAGAGTTATCTCCATGTCTCTCGCTGGATTCTCTCACATGTCTTGTAGATCGGTCTGGACTTCTTTCTCTGCGTCGTCTTTCGTCTCTGTCTCGTCGTGTATCATCACGTCGATGCCTTTCTCTGTCTCTGGAGTTTGAATCTTTGCCTCTCATGGCTGCTTCTCTGAAATCATTTCAGGCAAAAAAAGTCGGTTATTTTAACGACGTCTATCTTGGACCGCTGTTTAGGAAATCTTTGGACCTCTAGATCTCTTCCTTAATGTTTTTATTTTAAGAAGATAAATGGTTTTCTTGTTTACGCCACATGCTTTAATGAAATTGTTCACGATAAATGGTGTTTACACAAAAGCGTTCGACAAAATGAAAATGGCTTAGCACGCAGTTTTGTTAAACAATGGCTAAACTACGTTTAAATAACTGGCCCAAAGTCACGACAAACACGTTTACACACTTCCGTACTTCCTGAAAGATATTTTCCCATTACAAACCGGTGTATTGAAATCTTTCACAGCACTCCGTTTTGGATGGTATAACGTTTGTGGTCTGACACTGCGCTAGTCAAATGTATGAGAGAAAAAACAACGGCACCGCTCAAAAAATCGCAGTAAGACTCCACCTTCAGCTCGGAAGACGCGATGTTTGTCTCGCGAGAGAAGTTAACACTGTAAGTACGAATTGGTAGTCTATGCTTCGCTATTTGTGAGAAAGTCAGTGATGAAGATAGTAGTGAAATTTATCATCCGAAAAAAGGAAAAAAAGACACTTTCTTGCGAGGTGAACCACATGTCCCAATGACGGAGAAGCCAAAAATAAAGTAAAATTTTCTACCTTTCTTCAGCTTCTTTGATCATTGACTCCAGTTTTCCAATGGACTGAAAACACAAACACAAATCTGTAAATTCTCAAATAATCACTTTCTCAGAAAACCCATGTCATGCCCCTTTCCAAAAACAGCAACAATAAAAACAACAACAAAAAAAACACACACACACAAGCACCCTTTATGTACGGACGCTCGTTATCGCCACGATGAACGATACAACCTTTCTCGTATGCGAATTTTTTTAACAAGCCTACAGTGTACCACGTCAATGTCACCACGTTAAGGCTCATTTTTCATATGATAAACACGATCGGCGAAAAAACAAATCTGACAAAGATTGTAGCACTCCTAAAGATTATAGCAACTTATTAATCCAGCATTCTTGAGCTTGGACTGGCTTTTATCTCAGCGATCTTAAGTTGAAAAGCTGTAGCAGCGATCAACACAATAGACCTTATTCACGATACAAGCCATTTAGGTTGCGTTTGATTCGGAAATCCGCATTTAGATTTTAAAATCCGGATTTCAGATTTTGCAATCGAACGCGAATCCCGAAAACGCATTTGACCACGGAGAAATCCGTCCTCAGGGTGGATTTCAAATAAGAAATCCAAATCCAGATTTCATGAATTACCTTTGTTCTTTCAAAATATCTAAACAAATCCCATAATTTCAAAAATTTAATTTTTTATGACGTCATCACTTTAGAACTCTCTTTGCACGGGATAAAAGTGACGTCACGTGTCTTCTAAGAAGGCAAACGAGTGATAAAATCTGCCGATACATGAAATCGCTGTCGAGTTTGTTTATTCTAGACAACAGAAAATGAAGAACTTTTTTCCCTAACGACGACGATGGGTGGAAGCGATAATAGCTACTTTTTTGGATGCAATAGAAACCGTATATATTCTCACAGTAAGCAATGATGTAAAACTTGTCGAAACTTTGAGAGCATAAACAAACTCGACCTCGATTACTCGTATTGGCAAATTTTATGACTTGTTTGCCTCTGAAATTCCACGTGACATTGTTTTATCCCATCAATCCTTTAGAGCTTGCAAAGATAGCCGGTATCGGGAATAAAGTCTATTGTTAGACTGCGTTCTACGCGCGTGAAAGTAGAACGGAACGCGCCAGAGAGACAAGCGATAGTATGCAAGAAACCGACGAGGTTGTGCGAGACACATGCATATTTCTGGTTTAGAAATTCAAGAATAGCTAGCCTAGCCTTCAAGACACTGTTGACTTACACGTAGTATCGTTCTTGATGGATTTTTGGCCGGGTAAGAAAACTTTCTTGCCTTATCAATCCATGTTTTTGTTAATACATGTTTTATTAATCCACGTTTTATCAATCCATGTTTTAGTAATCCGTGTTTTATGAGTCCAGTCCATGTTTTATCATATGCCACGTTTAGCTACATTTACTTACCCCATATCTCTGGGCAACAATATCAGCAAAGCTTCTTCCCTCCTCTTTAGCTTGTTCCTGAGCTCTCTTATAAGCTTTCTTTAACCAATCACTGCTAAGTGAACTGCTGGAACTTACTATAGTGTACAGAAACAAAAAGGAAAGAACGACACTCAAGTAAGCCTGTGCATAGCTGCCCCCTCACTTATAAAAAGTTTGGGAGAAGGACTCTTCACGATTTTTTACCGCGGCGGGTTTAGCTCAGTTGGTGGAGTTCTAGACTGCAGAGCGGAGGTCGTGGGTTCGATTCCCGGGACCGGACCATTACTCAGGGTATAAAAATAACAGAGAAATGAAGGTTCTTCATTTCCCCTGCAAACAGTTGGACCTTCACGAGGTTCGGATGACCACGTGAGATTGCGGTCCCGTCTCCAGAAGGAGACGTAAAAAATGGCCGGTGTCATCAGCTGGTGTTTTCATGCCCAATACATTGAAACTGAAATAGACATCTATACGTAGACATACACACTTAATTTTATGTGGTGAATATGCTTAGCCATACGGCTAGTTTATATAAAAATAATGTTAAAAGTTTGAATTACTCAATTGCTAAGATTATGAAATACATGTAACTATGATAAAATTTAAAATACCTTAACCTGAAATTATGATTTAATGACAAAATTTATAAAAATTCTAAAAATCTAAAGCCACGAACCCTGTTGCCAAATTCTTTAGTTCCAGCCAAGGCAGGCCAATTGTCTGGTAAAGCGTACCAGTGTTTCGCAGTAAAACTGCTAAAAGATAAAGTGCAATTTTCTTTTGAGGGAAGGACGCGCCTGTACGCAGGCTTCGCTCTCACTTGACATTTTGACTCCTTACAGGTACGGTAAAACGGGCAACAAAAAAAGTACAACTTGTTTTGCAACATGGCTACAAAACGAGTAGAATAGAGATGTTACGCAATTTACCGCCCACATTCAAACCTGTCTTGCCATAAATCAGGTTGTTGCAACCTGTCACAACATCGCTTTTAAACTCGTTTTGCAGCAGCGGTGCAAAACAAATTGGACGTTTTTGTTGCCCATTTCACCGTAGCTCATCAGGAGTTTTCTCTAAGAAATTTTAAAAGTTGAAATTGTGGAATTATCGATTATAACGAAATTGGTATTAGTACACTTACCTTGAACTTGTCGGGTTTCCTGTGCACTCTCCCTCTCAGATGGTAGCCCTGTTCCTCCACCTTTCCAATATGGGTTTAACTCTTTTGGATGCTGTCCTGGCTGTGGAAGTGGCGAAAGAAAATACAAGTATAAGAAACGGAAGTTACTGCAAACTGTATCGAGAAACACAATTATTTAGAGTGCAATGCTGTACACTTCCGTACTTCCTGAAAGATATTTTCCCATTACAAACCGGTGTATTGAAATCTTTCACAGCACTCCGTTTTGGATGGTATAACGTTTGTGGTCTGACACTGCGCTAGTCAAATGTATGAGAGAAAAAACAACGGCACCGCTCAAAAAATCGCAGTAAGACTCCACCTTCAGCTCGAAAGACGCGATGTTTGTCTCGCGAGAGAAGTTAACACTGTAAGTACGAATTGGTAGTCTATGCTTCGCTATTTGTGAGAAAGTCAGTGATGAAGATAGTAGTGAAATTTATCATCCGAAAAAAGGGAAAAAAGACACTTTCTTGCGAGGTGAACCACATGTCCCAATGACGGAGAAGCCAAAAATAAAGTAAAATTTTCTACCTTTCTTCAGCTTCTTTGATCATTGACTCCAGTTTTCCAATGGACTGAAAACACAAACACAAATCTGTAAATTCTCAAATAATCACTTTCTCAGAAAACCCATGTCATGCCCCTTTCCAAAAACAGCAACAATAAAAACAACAACAAAAAAAACACACACACACAAGCACCCTTTATATACGGACGCTCGTTATCGCCACGATGAACGATACAACCTTTCTCGTATGCGAATTTTTTTAACAAGCCTACAGTGTACCACGTCAATGTCACCACGTTAAGGCTCATTTTTCATATGATAAACACAATCGGCGAAAAAACAAATCTGACAAAGATTGTAGCACTCCTAAAGATTATAGCAACTTATTAATCCAGCATTCTTGAGCTTGGACTGGCTTTTATCTCAGCGATCTTAAGTTGAAAAGCTGTAGCAGCGATCAACACAATAGACCTTATTCACGATACAAGCCATTTAGGTTGCGTTTGATTCGGAAATCCGCATTTAGATTTTAAAATCCGGATTTCAGATTTTGCAATCGAACGCGAATCCCGAAAACGCATTTGACCACGGAGAAATCCGTCCTCAGGGTGGATTTCAAATAAGAAATCCAAATCCAGATTTCATGAATTACCTTTGTTCTTTCAAAATATCTAAACAAATCCCATAATTTCAAAAATTTAATTTTTTATGACGTCATCACTTTAGAACTCTCTTTGCACGGGATAAAAGTGACGTCTCGTGTCTTCTAAGAAGGCAAACGAGTGATAAAATCTGCCGATACATGAAATCGCTGTCGAGTTTGTTTATTGTAGACAACAGAAAATGAAGAACTTTTTTCCCTAACGACGACGATGGGTGGAAGCGATAATAGCTACTTTTTTGGATGCAATAGAAACCGTATATATTCTCACAGTAAGCAATGATGCAAAACTTGTCGAAACTTTGAGAGCATAAACAAACTCGACCTCGATTACTCGTATTGGCAAATTTTATCACTTGTTTGCCTCTGAAATTCCACGTGACATTGTTTTATCCCATCAATCCTTTAGAGCGTGCAAAGATAGCCGGTATCGGGAATAAAGTCTATTGTTAGTCTGCGTTCTAGGCGCGTGAAAGTAGAACGGAACGCGCGAGAGAGACAAGCGATAGTATGCAAGAAACCGGCGAGGTTGTGCGAGACACATGCATATTTCTGGTTTAGAAATTCAAGAATAGCTAGCCTAGCCTTCAAGACACTGTTGACTTACACGTAGTATCGTTCTTGATGGATTTTTGGCCGGGTAAGAAAACTTTCTTGCCTTATCAATCCATGTTTTTGTTAATACATGTTTTATTAATCCACGTTTTATCAATCCATGTTTTAGTAATCCGTGTTTTATGAGTCCAGTCCATGTTTTATCATATGCCACGTTTAGCTACATTTACTTACCCCATATCTCTGGGCAACAATATCAGCAAAGCTTCTTCCCTCCTCTTTAGCTTGTTCCTGAGCTCTCTTATAAGCTTTCTTTAACCAATCACTGCTAAGTGAACTGCTGGAACTTACTATAGTGTACAGAAACAAAAAGGAAAGAACGACACTCAAGTAAGCCTGTGCATAGCTGCCCCCTCACTTATAAAAAGTTTGGGAGAAGGACTCTTCACGATTTTTTACCGCGGCGGGTTTAGCTCAGTTGGTGGAGTTCTAGACTGCAGAGCGGAGGTCGTGGGTTCGATTCCCGGGACCGGACCATTACTCAGGGTATAAAAATAACAGAGAAATGAAGGTTCTTCATTTCCCCTGCAAACAGTTGGACCTTCACGAGGTTCGGATGACCACGTGAGATTGCGGTCCCGTCTCCAGAAGGAGACGTAAAAAATGGCCGGTGTCATCAGCTGGTGTTTTCATGCCCAATACATTGAAACTGAAATAGACATCTATACGTAGACATACACACTTAATTTTATGTGGTGAATATGCTTAGCCATACGGCTAGTTTATATAAAAATAATGTTAAAAGTTTGAATTACTCAATTGCTAAGATTATGAAATACATGTAACTATGATAAAATTTAAAATACCTTAACCTGAAATTATGATTTAATGACAAAATTTATAAAAATTCTAAAAATCTAAAGCCACGAACCCTGTTGCCAAATTCTTTAGTTCCAGCCAAGGCAGGCCAATTGTCTGGTAAAGCGTACCAGTGTTTCGCAGTAAAACTGCTAAAAGATAAAGTGCAATTTTCTTTTGAGGGAAGGACGCGCCTGTACGCAGGCTTCGCTCTCACTTGACATTTTGACTCCTTACAGGTACGGTAAAACGGGCAACAAAAAAAGTACAACTTGTTTTGCAACATGGCTACAAAACGAGTAGAATAGAGATGTTACGCAATTTACCGCCCACATTCAAACCTGTCTTGCCATAAATCAGGTTGTTGCAACCTGTCACAACATCGCTTTTAAACTCGTTTTGCAGCAGCGGTGCAAAACAAATTGGACGTTTTTGTTGCCCATTTCACCGTAGCTCATCAGGAGTTTTCTCTAAGAAATTTTAAAAGTTGAAATTGTGGAATTATCGATTATAACGAAATTGGTATTAGTACACTTACCTTGAACTTGTCGGGTTTCCTGTGCACTCTCCCTCTCAGATGGTAGCCCTGTTCCTCCACCTTTCCAATATGGGTTTAACTCTTTTGGATGCTGTCCTGGCTGTGGAAGTGGCGAAAGAAAATACAAGTATAAGAAACGGAAGTTACTGCAAACTGTATCGAGAAACACAATTATTTAGAGTGCAATGCTGAGTGCAAAAGTAACGTGCAAAGAAAGTAGTGTTCGATAGCCCGGAACTAGTGGCATCGCTATCGGGCTAGTGAATTGTGTTCTTAACTTGCCCGATGGGGAAGTGAAGTATTTTGAGGAATTCAAATTACAGAAGAACTATGTAATCAATCCTGCTTATCAAAAAGTTTTGGGGGCTAGTTGAAATCCGTTTTGGGCTTGTAAATGTAAGCCACAACTTGCCTGAATGGCAAGCTTTAAAACTGACTTTCTTTGCACCCTGAATGGACACAGTGCTTGAGAAAATATCTTGAATTGCAGCTTGAAGTTCAGGCAAGTAACTTTCAAAATTTGCTAATGCCGGGTGCAGTTACGTGCTTGCCTCAGTTTACTGTTTAGTGAGAAGACAATTTGGCCGAACCCTTGCCTATCAGTCCCCGCAAGTAAGTCTGTCAAGTTACTTGCCTGGAAGGAAAATATTCCCTTTTCCCAAACAACCAGACGGGACAATTTTCAAGCTCTGGATCGATGCATAGAATATAGGGATACATATAATATACCCTGGACGCCGCCTCGGAGAACGGCAACCGGAAGTAAATTTGGTCAACCAAATCCTTAAGGTTTGTTTTTCCCGCGCAAAGGTGGCGGTCGCGACCCATGCTCTTGTAGCAACCCCTCTTCAGCTAAAGAAACCAGTCAGTGGTGCCACGTGTTTAAAAAAAAAAAAACAGTTTGTGCGTTTTTGTGTTTAAGGGTACCCTGGGTGCCAGGGACTTTTCAAGTTACATCCGCCGCTCTCGATCACCGAACACGAGAAAAAACCTCTGGTGCCCAGTGTAGTCTACGGGTTAAAAACGTTACAATGCGGCATAGGATGGTTATGCTTACGAAGAATAGTTCTACTAAAACCAGAAGGAATGATTAAACAAACCAACAAAAAAATTCTGATTGCCTATTTCATTGCAAAGGTTTGCTAGATGAGACACGAGCAAGTGCGATAATAACATTGTTGGTCGCCAATAGGTTTCCCTGGATTTGCCGCATTTATAGGCTGGGACTCCGAAATTAAAACCAGACGAGGGTTAGATTTGGGATTGAAAGTATACACGGGACACGGGATACAAAAAATAACCATCAGGATAAGTTACGGTATTGCAAGAAATGTTTTGAGTGGGAAGACGGGATTGAAGAACCCTATCGGGGAGACTCATTGTTGGTATTGGATACACAGTGTAGCAAGTGAACTGGCAAAAACACAATGCATGTAAAATTCAACCCACTGAGATACATTTAAGCCAAACTGCTCACTTGATCTATGCAAGAAAGAGCTTTGAACTTGCTGTCCTCCTCTTGACTCTCCTCTTTTTCAGGTTCTTCGTCCTCAACGTCCATCGCTTGATCTGGGCTTGACGTGATTGGAGGAAACAGCATCCAACTGTCACGCTGCTGTCAAGAACAGAAGATTTTCAATGTTCATTCTAAAGCAATTCACTCCAAGGTAATCAGAACTACTGATCTTGAATCACTAGTTCTTTTTACATGTGTACAATTTAAGAAGTAAGGTTCCCCAAGATAAGAGGTAAACTTCCCATAAAAATGGGAGGAAAAAAAATGCCTTTTCGCTTTTAATGAGATACAACCTGCCATAATGTTACACTACATGTAAGTATACTAGTAAAGATAGCGTAAGGATTCTAATTGGTTGAGCTACTCCTAGGCTATATGTTATAGCCTACTAGCAGTGAAAGGCGCCGGCTTTGAAAACCAAAACAATGGCGGCTGAATCGCGTTTTGCTGGCTTAAGTTGTTTTGTCTCGATTTTTTGACCAACTAGTTGAATTTCACTAAAACAATTATTCCTCTTGCCCTCATGACCTCTGAATCAATAGCCTATTCGGCCTTCAGCCTCATGGGCTATTGACTCAGAGCCCATTCGGGCTCGAGGAATAATTGTTAAATGTGTAGAGGCGGACATGGGGGTTTACGATATTGAGGTACAGTAAACACCCGCATATAAGGACAAATGGATTAAGAACACCAGGCTGAAATTTGGCCAATAAAGCACCATTTTTATAAGAACAAGATCAGCCTGAAAATTGTAACATGTTCTTATAAAATGGAAAAAGTGTCATAATTACAAAACATGTAAGGTTATGTTTGCTGTCAGATAACTTCATTTGTCAATACAATCAAATTACAGAATAATAATTATTTATTTTATTTTCCTAAAATATGCTAAATATACCTCTAGCAACATGTTTTGGATAGTATTACTAAATAAAACTTTAAGAACATTTTAAGAACATTTTGAGGCTGATTTGTCATTAAGCACCCGATAAATAAGAACTCAATCAGCCTAACCTCCGAAATCGTGTGTTCTTATATGCGGGTGTTTACTGTATTGGGCTATTTTTCAAGAGGTTTTTCGGTAATTTTAGTTTTAATTCGCGGTATTACGGTATCACCGATCCCTGTGGGATGCAGTTTTTTTTATCCTTTTGGCTAATGGTATTCGGTAAAGGAAGACCCTTCACGGCACTGCCACACGGTTCATTTGCGCTCTCCTGTCAGTACTTACTAATTTTTCTTACGGTCTTGCGGTATTGGGTACCCCCAATGTCCCCCTCCACATGTACATAGAGTATAGACTTTTACCTGAGGTTGACCTGAAGAAGAGCTCTCTTTGGTCTCTGTGTTGGTTGTTGTTGGGTCTTGTCCTTTTTCCACCCACTCATCCTCCGATTCCTAAAGCAATAATGACAACGATAAAGTTCAACAACAACAGCAAAAAACAAAACGAGCAACAACAAATAGGACGTGTTTCTGAGTTAAGTGATAGGTCAAGACGGCCGAACGTAGTGGCCAAGTTTTTTCATTTTCGTCCACAGCAACAAACAAACAGACAAACACGATAAGAACAAGGCCATTATCCACCCATCCCGTCTGAGCAAGATTGGTCAAAAAAGGCTTTATTATTGACCAAAATAACATTTTTTCTTGCAGGAACAAAGTTGAAAATCAAAAGCAGGATTGCTCATTCTAGCCACCAGTCAGCAGAACACAGGATTTGCTTCATCTTGCTCACTAAAATGTAGCTGGGGGATGAGCCATCAAAATAATTTTATGATTATAGCACACTAAAAAATTAGTAATGGTAACGGGACTGACCGGAGTTCAATTCGGTCTGTAATCATACGAGTGATAAAATCACGCGGTCGTTCGATTTGTTTAATCACGAGTATGATTATGAGTATGATTACAGACCGAATTATCACAAAATTTGAGTTTTTTAAGGCTCTTTTTTTAAATCAAACACAAGAAATTCCAAGACCTTTTTTTGCCAGCAGTGAAAAAAAAAACCATTTGAGTTCACAGGTGCTGGCGCGTACTGTCCAATTACTTAGGCATGATGCATACCGTCCCATTGAACTGTCCTAGAAAGGCTGAAATCAGGGCAGTTGATACCCATTTAGATCAGGGTTTGAGCTAGGATTTGATCACTGGGGGACAATTTGTCCCCTTGGCTAAAATTTTGGGGGACATTTTCTTTTTTAGGGGGACAGAAATTTGTACACCCTTCTGCTGATGCAAAGGGGTTTGTCGTCTTAGCAGGGCTTCTGATAGGTCTCGGAAGAAAAAGTCAAATTTCGCGGGATTTTTAGGGACAAATTCCCGGAAAAATCGGCCGATTTCGAGGGAGCTTTCGGGGCAAACTTCACCGAAAAGCAATCGGTAAAAAACGGCCGATTTTGTGGTTATTTTCAAGGCAAATTTCGCTACAAATCGATCGGTTTTGCGCTGATCAGACCAGCCTTTTTAACGTTTTTCTAACAGAGGTCATCATTTGCTCTTTCAACAACAATACGCTCCAGAAATGAACCAATGGCAAAGCCTTTAACATCATGGCTAGTGCCCAGTTTTTCGCAACATAATCTGTTTGCATGTTTCAGTGCCGAAGTTCCAAGATAAATTTGCAAGTTTACGGCAAGTAAATAGCCCCTATAGCTAAAATAAGTTTCAAATATGTTGTACAGACATGTATTTGATAAGATTTCTACCGAATTTCGCGGTATTTTTCGTGTTTTTGTGAATTTCGCGGCTCCGCGACCGCGCGAAGAATCAGAAGCCCTGTCTTAACTTGTCTTAGATTTCCGACAAAAATAGCAGTAGAGCGTGACTGAAACGTAACTTTGAAATGAACTTTAAATGTGCGATAAAATATACTTTCCACGTTCTGTTTCAGCTTGCAATTTCTGTACTGAAATAAATCTCTTCGTGTGTGCTTCCTTTCGAGTTTTTTCCCTAAATTTTGAAGGGGACAAATTGTCCCCTTGGCCGTTTTTTAAAGGGACAATTCCAATTGCAGTGCGGGATTGGCGCAATGGCGCGGCCTGGCTCAAACCCTGTTAGATTTGAGAATTTTGTTATAGTTATGATTAACATTTTAACAATTTACAGTGCTGTTTTAGTTACGATGAAAATTGACATCATAATGTGAAAGAAAAAGCACCATCTCAGAAGATTCACAGTTAACATTCTTAGAGCTTTGGGAGGAATACATGATAAAGCCCTCGAGAACATCTGTATCCAGCTACCACCAGATTAATTCCCTGGCCCTCGTCTTTGCCAACTATACAAAAAACGCAAGTAGGCTGAGCATGATTATCAGGGTGAACATAGTCCTGAATAAGTCTGTTATTGTCCACAATGACTGATGTTTCAACAACCTGTGGAGTAGTCATTTTCGGAGTCAAGTGAGTCATATCACGTCAGTTGATGGTGTTAAACTCTGGTTATTGACCAGATTGGTCAACTAAGTTCCGATGTTATTGGTCGTCTGTCAGTTCAGCTGCGATCTTACTGGCTATGAAGACTCCTACTGTCATAGGTGCATTTCATCCCTCTATTGTCATTAGTTAAACAGTTGTTTACTGTTAGTTAGCAGGGTGCAAAAAAGTCATTTTAAAGCTTGCCTTTCGGGCAAGCTGAAGCTAGAATATGCTAACCCAAATGTCATTTCAACTAGCCCCAAAAACATTTTGATGAGCAGAATTGATTTCACTGTTCTTCTGTAATTAAATTGGATTCCTCAAAAAAACTTCATGAGCCCGTCGGGCAAGTTAAGAACAAAATTCACTAGCCCCTGGCTATCGGAAACTACTTTCTTTGCACGTTGGTCAAATTAATTGACTAGTGAGGTGAATAACCAGAGTTTACTACTATGAACTGACGTGATACAACTCACTTTGACTCTGAGGATGACTACCGCACAGGTTGTCGCAATGTCAGTCACTGTGAACAACAACAGACTACAGTCCTATTCAGGACTATGTTCACCAGGATGATCATACTTGACCGAAATTGTAAATTGTAAATATCTTATTATCCACTCCCTTCAGGGCTTTTCAGGGATAATTTACAACACTGGTTGGGGGACTTTGCCAGACTGCTTAAGGTGCAGTTTACAAGACTGGTAAATGAAGGAATGAGTAATGATGCCCTTATACATGAGTGTGAAAGTGAGATAGACCACTACACTAAGAACTACAAGCCCTACTCTTTACAAAGAGTGTGTGGGTTCTTTAACATCCTACAGATTTATTACATGTGCAAGGGCTTGTGAAACGGGGCCTATGGTTTATCATCCTCATTGGAGAAGACTAGAAAGTCTAACCGTTTGCAGATTTTATTACGAAGGTAGCACTTTCTCCTCAGCTATTTAAAGACCCTGAGTGTTGGTCCAGCTGGGGTTTGAACCTAAGGCGTCCCGCTCAGCAGACCGGCGCTTATCCCATTGAGCTAACCGGGTGGTGGTTATGAAATGAGTACTTATAAAACGACTCCTGGGTTCAAACCTTTCACAGTTATACAAAAAAAAGAAAAATAGTTTATACATGTGTGTCTGTCACAGACCATTATTAAAACCACTTTCTTAAGACACTTACAGATTCTGATGAGCCTTGTTCTTCTGTGGTATCTTTCTTTGACTTCTTGTGCTACAAATAGTTGAACATTTTAAGAATTCCTATCCTAAAAGTTCATAAGATGATACCAAAACATCAACACTCCTCCATTTTAATAATTCACATTGCTATGTGTGCAAATGCTGAACACAATTATATGTAACAATATTTTAAAAGGGACAGTCTTTCCTTTCAATATATTGACAGAATGATATGCTATGTTATTTTCATACACTGAAAACACTAGATTATTTTTCAGATCACAACAGAACAATAAAAGGCACGTTTTAAAGTAAGTTGAAAAAGGTGTGGGATTTTTGGGTTGGAACAAGAAATGTTTATAAATTGTTAAGCAGGCTTTTTTTGATGAATTTACATGTATGTTATGATCCATACCCATGATCCATATATGTACGCCATTTGTGAGTATTATAATACAAATGAACCAAAGGAAATAAGTAAACAAGGATAATGATGATGATGATGATGATTTGAACTCTGGACTTATGTGAACACAGGGTTCGTACAGACTTTTGGACTCAAAAATCAAGACTTTTTCCACACATTTCTGAAACAATTTCAAGATTCAAGGTTATCAAATAAGCCTTAACACTGTGACGAGTAGGCAACCACGTGAGAAATTACGGTGTTTGTATGAGAATCAAATGTCTAATAATTTCCATAAAACGGCTGTACTGAAAAAAAAAATAGGAATTGTAAACTAAAGCTACACAGCAAAGGATCTTACTAACAAATTTTGGGGGCCATTACTGCCCTTAAATTTTTCCAGATGATTGCTTTAGACTTTCCATACATATTTGTCTGCAATTTTTCCCAGGAGATTTTAGTCGGCAGGAAGAAAAAATTTTTACAGAAATGTATAGAACATTTTAAAAACTGGTTCTAGCTCTTGAAGCTGCATGTAATGCCCTCAAATGTTTTTCTGTAAAAATCATTAAGAGTGCAGCTTTAGTTTACAATTCATATTATTTCCAGAGCAGCCGTTTTAGGGAAATTATTCAACATTAGATTCTCATACATTAAAACACTGTAATTTCTCACTTGGTTGCCTACTCTTCAAGTTGGCATCAAAAACCGTGGTAGGCCTACTGGTAATAAAATATATTGATACAGACCTTAAAAAATGCAGGGACAAAGCTATTTTCATGATTTACACAAGCGTATGAGCAAAATTGAATAAGATTTGACCAAAACGAAAAAAAGAGTCACTTACAAAGCACTATACTAAATTGTTGCAGCTTTCAAAAAAAACAATTAAGACTTTTTACCATTTCTCAAACTTTATCTCTATTTTCCAGACTTTTCCAGCTCTAAAAAATTGCTGGGCAAATTTCAAGACTTTTTCAAGAATAGGACAATAAATTGCCAATGATGATATTTGACTACAACTACCAGAATTCATTTCGGTTTTGCTTTGTTATTTAAATTTGTCAATCCCGCTGAGGATTAAAGAACAGTAGCCTTAATTTGCACAAGAAAACAACAAACTCAAGGATTCTGTTAGTTGTAGTAAAATGACGTAATCGTGCAATTGTCCTATTCAAGGCTCTGTACGAACCCTGTAAACAACTCCAGCGCGAGTTCAAGGTGGGACATTAATTCAAAGCCTCTGGAAATCAAGTTAGACTGCAAAACAGTCAGTTGTTTTCTCAAAATCAGTAAAGAAATCGGTAAAGCGTGGTGTAAGAGTCTTATGCACGCGAAGTGCATGAGCCTCACTCTCCATTTTCAGCCTTGTTCCAGACCTTTTGTTTGACTGCTTGTGCTTACTTGAATACGCAAAAATACGGACTGTTTTGCAGTCTAAAAGCAAGTCTGATGCTCTCACTACATTTTTATGCTGCCCCCTTAAAGTACATAATGCACTTTATTATTCATTCAAAATGTTTCTAATCTGCAGCTAATTCCTATAACCACCTAGCGTTAGCCAAAGTTGGAAGATTTTTGACAATACAATAAACAGTTACATGTAAGTCACTTTTACTTTTGCAAAGAAGAAATACAGTACAACATGTAGCTGATAATACTGCCAGCTGAAATTATAACAAAAGCAGCAAAAATACATTGTAATACTATTGGGCAGGTGTAATACTACTGAGGGCATTATCCACCTCGGCCTTTGGCCTCTGTGGATAACACCCTCCTCGATCTGCTTAAATCTTCATATCCTACTCAGCCTCATTCATTAATTGCTAATTATTCAATATAAACAATTCAACTCTCACCTTTTTCTCTTTTTTGGACTTTTTTTGCTTCTTGTCTTTTCTGTGTTTTTTCTTCTTTGACGTGTTCTTGTGAAGACGAAAACCAAAACATGCTCAGGATTACAATATGCACGTCCAAATAGCTTACTATTTTAATAACTTAACCTTGAGTTTTCTATTTCTAACCAAGCAGTTGTCTGCAGGCATACGTTACAGGTCAAAGTTATTTTCAACCTAGGTTGATTCTCAATAGAGTTCCTTAGTAAACTCACCAAGTTTTAAAGTGATATGTATAAAGCGAGTGAAGATATAGCTTCCAAAAGTTGCAAAATTTTATAGACATTTGTAAGGTGGGGGTCAAGTTCGTCCATCATACAAATGGCTGTAAAATTCCACTTGCTCAATAACAGAAAGACTCTGTATGAATCAAACATATGCTACATTTTGCTTGGATACAGTTTCCAATCCAGGCCTATATGTAATAGCCATGAGCTTGGTGCATTGGCTCACATTAAAAAAAACGTTTTTGATTTAAAGAGAAAACAAGATTGACTAGTTGGGGCTGTGGTGACTTCAAAGACTTGACACTCTTTATTAGCTGTTTGCACCACCAGTCTCTTCTCTATAACATGTAGGACAGAGATGGAATTTTTTTTGGATTTTTTATAATAGCTGTGTCACATTTACGTAATGCAATCAGGTCTAAAATGGACCCTTCACCTGACTTGTGACAAGTCGAGTGCACAGGAATTTCATTGTAGTTTGTCTTAGTTTCTTTGTGGAAGTGGAGTCAAACAAAGGCACAAGGTACAAACAAACAAATTGTAGACCTGCTTATATACTAGACAGAATAGATAGTACATGTAATTTTTTGTCTAGATTTTGAAAACTTTGTCGTTCTGTGATACGAACTGGACCCACATGTTTCATTAAAGTGAAGCAAGTTTAAATAATGCACCTAAAGAGTTCTTTATGGCTGACAAAATGGCATAAAACTTTCCACTTAATGTAAATTAATGAAACATCTAGATGTATCACTGTGCGGCTTGAGATTGCCTAAATAACCTATTTGCAATTGGCTGAGACATTTGTTTGAGAATAATAATTATTGATCTGTGTAGTGCCGAACTTCTCAACCGTCAGGTCATAAAGGTCAACTTACACACAAGCTAGTGCTCCGTGAATTTTTCATTCCCAAAAATTCATTTCTATTACAGTGTACTTGTATGCTCCCAGAGCTTTGAAAGCATATTATTTTAACAGCTTAAAGTTTGCTTTTTAATGTGTTTGAAATCATCATTGTATCGGGTGTGATTTTAGGCCCGTGAAATTTGACAATACTTTACTTGTGCAAAATCTGTAAAATTTTATTCCATGGCATGACCATAAAGCATTACTTATCTCCCCAGTGCTATTTTACCTGCACCAGATTGGACAAGTTCAGGTAGGTCCAAAAGAAAAAAAACTTAATCACTCCACGGCACTACAAAGTACAAGCTGAAACCTCTGACCAGCATCATGCAACTTAATGGAATGGTGTAGGAAATTATTCTGTTCTAGGAACTTTATCTTATCAACAGTACTATCTGACTTTGCTGGCTGCATTAAAATCAAAGCTCGGGGAAGTCACCGTGAGACTTAAACCGAAGGCGAAAGAAAGCAGTGAGCCCATGATTATTGAAAACAACAACAAAACCTCTGAAGGGAGGGATGGGTGGGAATGACAAAACTTTAGGATGGTTGAAGTATTGCAACTTAGCAATACAGCTCGGAATGACAGAGGATTTTTACTAAGCCTTTTACAGTCAGACTGCTATCAGAGGGATGTACCACTGAACAGAACGTGCACCTTAAGTGCTCCACGAGATATGCATGAGGAAAATCATTTTTACTAGTGATACATTAGAAACTAGCCCCAACGGCGACAAAAACAAGGATTGCTATTGTATCTGTCCCCAACTGTGGAAGTGAATTCACGAACTACACAGTACTTTTACCTACTATGAGTAAAACTCTACCAGATGTGATAAGGGCTGGCATAACGTTGCATTACATGTTGGTGATTGAGGGCGTAATGCTCCATTAAATGCATTTTACAATCGAGTTGTAAACCTTCTTTACGGTTCCTAAAACTCGTTTAGACCTCTGTTTAAAAGTCATGCTCAAAAATTAGGGGGTGGTCCACAGGGGTGGACCATATTTTGTATTCCCAATTTTCACATAGACCATAATGCACCTTGTTTACCCCCCCAAATTATGCATAACCACAGAGATTCCAACCCTCCTGTTCTGGCTGCAAAACCTTCCACTTTCAGCATATATTTCCGGTCTCCCGTTTTCACTTAATATTGTCCCAGTTTTTGAAACTTTTCCAAGCCAAAGAAGGATTAATGTTTTCTTTGTTTAAAAGGTCTTTTTAGCATGATTCTTTGCCATTTTCTTGTGGTTTCTCAGCCATTTTTATACCTTTTGGCATCCGAGCATGAGCCTGCAACAATTGTGCAGAAAATGCAGAAAATGGCATCTTTGAGGTACATATCTTAAAATTTTTCACAGAGGAGCATGCCCCCAGAGCCCCACTAGAGGCTTGCGCCTTCGGCACTTGTGGGAGTGGCTATGCCGCTCCTAAAGCCTTCCTCTTTTCAGTTGACAGGGTTTGAATCTCTGTAACCATTGTCTTATATTTCTCTTGGGACGACTGTAGTACCCAGGAGAAATTGGGAACAATGGTTATACAAAATTTTGGGGGGTAAACAAGACGCATTATGGACTATCAGAAAATGGTGAATACGTCCCTTAATACCTTTTCATTATCGTCGGCTTCTGCTAGTCTCTTACTAAGAGAAGGAAGCATCCACGAGCTTTCACCAGTTTCTTTCCGCCGTTCCTTTTTTCTCTGCTCTCGTTCATAATCTTCCTTAGCCTTCAAAGTAAAGGATATTCAATTAAGACTTTCAGTTAAGCAGTTGAAGTTCCCTTCAAGCTGTAAATGAAATTTTAAAGTTACATATTTTGAACATTTTTCCAGGGTTCCACTGCCTGAAACGACCTTTACCATGAGAGAATTCCGCATGACATGGATTAGGTTACCTGAAAATCTGAAAAGAATCATAAAATTTCATCAGGACTTGCCTTTTTGAGGATGTCTTCCCTTGCTTTTCGTCTCTGTTCTTTTTTAGCATCAATTTCTCTCTTTGAAACAAAGTTGATCAAGTCCGCCATCTTGAAAAGTAGATTGAATGTTTGCTGACCAATTTACTTAAGGCTCAACAATACTGCAAGGAATCCTGGTTAGTCTTTCTGCGGAATAAAATGGCGCGCGAAAAGGTGGCGGAGTTTTCAAATGTTATCGCTCACAATCAAAACGATATAGTACACATTTTAGAAAATGCATCTCACTTTAATGACGCTGATAGCGGGTATCGCCACGTCTGGGTCAGAGATATCCAACAGAACACTGATGTTTCAGCATGCCATGTGAAAGGTACATGTATGTTTAAGTATTACAGTTGTCCCTAGACAAATACATGTAGAAGACAATGGTTACAGAGATTCAAACCCTGTCAACTGAAAAAAGGAAGGTGTTAGGAGCGGCGTAGCCACTTCCACAAGCGCCAAAGGCGCAAGCCTCTATTGGGGTCTGGGGGCATGCTCCTGCACAGGTAGCCCAAGCTCACTATGAGAGCCGTGAACAACATTATCCTACTTAGCTAATTAATTATTCATACAGCAAGAAAATTATAAGACGTTGTATGGAGAAATATTCTTTGCTCACTAAATTAGCAAANGGCGATAAATTCCGTGACATTTGCGACATGGAGACAATTCCGCCAGAAACAGATGTCCTGATAAATAACGCACATTTTCCATCATTCACATCGCCAAAATTCCCATTTCGAAGGTCCTCAATCGCCAACGAAGTGGGCAATACACGGCTGAGGTGAGGCGAGTCGAGAGCAGACCCGCAACGGACTCCAACCGTCACGTCGACAATTCAAACCGACGCGGGCTGGCAGGGTCAAATTGTTCAACCGTCAAAGGACAATTGGAGCATCTAGCCTACTGGGCACAGTAACTGATTTTTCACTTCTCACATTGCACTCCGGGGTCGCGGAAGTCAAGCATCGCGTGTGATAGTGACATGTAATATCAAAACATGCCGCGTTGTTAATGTTTGAAAAAGGGAGGAAAAATAGCTAACAACTGTTTACAGCCGTAGTAATTCTTATTGAAAAATTTTTTTCTAAATCATACATAAAAAACCATTGTCAAACGCTTTTTAAAAAGAAGAGTAGAGAGATCAACGCGACACCTCAGCCGTGTATTGCCCACTTCGTTGGCGACTGAGGACCTTCGAAATGGGAATTTTGGCGATGTGAAAAATGATGGAAAATGTGTGTTATTTATCAGGACATCTGTTTCTGGCAGAATTGTCTCCATGTCGCAAATGTCACGGAATTTATCGCTGCCAAGAGCCGAGCCGGTCAAGAGAGGTTTGCCAACCTTCTCTTCTCTTCTCTCTACTGTCATCTGGGTGAAAAACTGTCGCTCCAAAAAAGGCCTTAAACAGTGCCTAGGAGGTCTGAAATGCAGTCAGAATACAAAGAAAAACAAGAAGATGCTAAAGGTAAGCTTCAAAGCGATATTCAATGTACATTTTGCTAATTTAGTGAGCAAAGAATATTTCTCCATACAACGTCTTATAATTTTCTTGCTGTATGAATAATTAATTAGCTAAGTAGGATAATGTTGTTCACGGCTCTCATAGTGAGCTTGGGCTACCTGTGGCTCCTGTGTGAAAAATTTTAAGATATGTGCCCCAAAGATGCCATTTTCTGCATGGTGAGATCCAAAATTGTTGCAGGCTCATGCTCGAATGCCAAAGGGTATAAAAATGGCTGAGAAACCACAGGAAAATGGCAAAGAATCATGCTAAAAAGACCTTTTCTTTAAGGTTCCTAAAACTCGTTTAGGCCTCTGTTTGAAAGTCATGTTCAAAAATTAGGGGTGGTCCACAGGGGTAGGTCCACAGGGATTTTTTGGGTTTTGATTTTTGCCCCCGTTTGAACATCCCCATCACTTGAAATCCAGAGTATCCCCCTGGGATATGCATTCCACATTAAACGAAACTCGTTTGAAAACCAATCAGTTTCGACCACGAATATGGTTGGCAGCTACATGGAAGAATGCGTCAGAGGCTGGCAGAGTTCTTTTTCGTTCCTCCCATTTTTTCTCTTACCATGAGAGGATTCTGCTAGTATGGAACTATGGGTGCCTCAATTTGACTCTAAAATACGTTGGTGTCCCCCATACCTTTTTGTAGCACAGGCAGACCAAACTCTGTTAGCGTGTGGATCCAAATTCATCAATCAGCCCATTGCGACTGTTGTCAGTTCAAAACCCCAATGTTGCCGTGACAACAGTTGTGATATGCTGATTTCTAGATTTGGATTGACGCGCATACCTCAAATGCCTTTAGTTGAGCATTTTGCAACAATCATGTTTGGAAAGCTGGCCTTGCAACTTAAGGATCCTTTTTGAGAAATTTTGGAAGGATTGAGTTCTCACTATAAAGTGGACGAGGTTACGCACCACCAGCTGATTGCTGCCCGCTTTGTTTTCATCTTTACTTCACCCAATTTCCAATAATTTGAAAATAATAAACAGATACCATTTCAGTCTTGTTTTTAACGGGACAGTTTTTACAGCAGTGCACCAGATTGGAGGAAAATAATTTGTTATTCATTTTAGGAGCACAAGGAGAGAGACATGGACATGAAAAATACATCTACACAAAGCTTGCAGAATTAAAAGTAAACACTGTTGTCAATGTGTATGGTGTGGTTAAATTTTTTAAGAGCCCTTTTAAGACCAAAGGCTCTGATTTTGTGTGCACCCTGAGTTTAGTGGATCCATCACTGCCTTCTTTGGATATTTCTTTTAAATGCGTATTATTTTCCAAGTCAAAGGAGGGCTTGCCTTCGGTCAAGACTGTAGGAGATGTAGTTCGTTTTCAGCATCTTGGAGTTGGTCATTATCAGGGTGAGCTTCAGGGAAAATTCACAGCAGATTCTTCTTGGTAAGTTTAAATTAACCACTGCTTTTATTATCTCCGCATCCTGCGTCCCTGATGCAAAATAATTCATGAAATGCATCCCACAGGATGCAAAGAACAGTTGATCGATTTGAAGATTTTTTGGTAGAGTATCCTGTTAATGTGATTTCTCTGGCTGTTGTTCAAAGATGCATATTTATTTTAGTCTTTTTTGTGCTTTAAATATATAGAAGGACTGTACTACTAATTTAAAACTGTAATAAAGAGTTTTGGCATCTGTCTCCAGATTAACTATCTGGTTACATAAAGGCCCGAACATTTTCCATTTAGGACTCCTTTTTTCTTTTTTTTTTTTTACTGGAACTCAATGGTTATAGACATAAGGCTGTGCTCTAGCAGAGCCCGGTGGCCCATGGCACCTAACTTTTGTTCTCAGGCGACTAGAAAATCTTTGCTTTTTCATAGAACCCGTATGCTGGGCACACTGGATTTACAAGTTCAGAGCACTGGGTTCCCTTCAATTTTTCTTAGAGCACAGCCTTGGGACAGGGACTCATGATTTTTCACAAGATGAATCCCAGGACTCACCATAACTGTTTGTAACAAAATTACTGATAAACCCTTCAAATGCTAAGAGTGACCATGAGTGGGAATGATAATTCTTTTTATTTTCTTCCAGCAATATCCCTATATCATCAAAGGAAAGGTTATCAGAATTTACATTAAATGTTCACTAAAGGGAAAAAATGCTTTTATCTTTTATCAAAAGAAAGAGGATGGGAAATTGGATAGAGATCACCGGAGTAAGGAAGAAACACTTTCCTTTGGTGATAAAAAGCTTGATTGACTAGAACTGATTACTTGTCTTGCTTCTTCACCCATATATTTTTGTTGTTGCGTTGGCACCCCCCCCCCTTCCCCATGTCCTCCCTCCTCTCCCTCCTCCATCTCAAGCACTGGCCACTCAGCAGCAAGGAAATTTTTATCATCATTTTTTCAGGGTTGTGTTTGACATACACAGCTCAGATACTCCACAAGTGAGAGCATCCTCATCAAAGTCATACAATTTGACCGATGATGAAAGAGGTGTCCTTGAAGAACTACAAGCATGGAGTGCACACAAGGAGGCTCTCAACAAAAAATTCTCAATCACCAATCTGAAAGATCTAAGTACCACTCACCATTTCATAAACTTACTTGCTCAAGTGGTAGCCATAAGGTGGACAGAAAAAGGTGACATAGTCCTGACAATGTGGGATGGGTCCCTTCCCACCTGCCAATCAGTACTGGTTGATCCAATCAGTGAACAGGGGCAAGTTATGTCTGATAAACTCATGCGTAAAGCATCTAAGCGCTGCATTGATGTAATTCTCTATGACAACCATGTCAGAAGCATTGGTACAAAGGTCTGCCCTGGTGATTTTGTTTGTATCAGGAATGTACATGTTAAGGAGAGAACAGCTGACGGCAACGTTACAGCACATAATCCTCAGGTAATTTGTGGTAGTAAAAGGTACAATAATACGTAACTCCTCTATTGATGCAACTGCATTGGATTCCCATTGCCAAGTGCATTAAATTTAAAATTGTTTTTTTCAACCTTCAAAGGCCTCCATGAGCTATCCCCTTCCTACATGAAAGAACTTCTAGCTCTGTATTGCCCCCCACACATGCTTCAGTCATCATCTTCCTCACTTTTAGCCCGGACTGATTATAACTTGAGGACCTATGGTGCCAGGGCATTTGCCATCTCCACCACTGAGCTTTGGAATCAGTTACCTGATGACATTAAATCTATTGCCAATTTAACAACTTTTAAATCAAAGCTTGAGACCTGTTTTTTAATATCGCTTTCAAGAATTATTTGTTATCTAAATTTCATTTTTTCATTTTTATTTTTTACAATCATGTGAATATTGTGTAAAGGGCATAAAGCTTCTGTATATGCACTATACAAATGTTTATTATAATAATAATAATAATAATCATAATCATAATCATAATCATAATCATAATCATAATCATAATCATAATCATAATCATAATAATAATAATAATAATAATAATAATAATAATAATAATTATTATTATTATTACAATTAACCCCATCTATTTCTCTAACTTCTTGGCTAGTCATCATAGACTAGTGGATTTTGTTGCTGGGCAAATAACTTTTACAGCTCGGGTAAGGGTCTAAGCAAGTCATCCTCTAACAAAATAATTGACCAAGACGAGCAAGAAGTGGCCCCAGGCAAGCAAAATGTAAGAGCTGCTTGCCCAGAGGACAAGATGGAAATCAAGTTTTTTTCGAGCCATGCGATCACCTACTCTTGTGTCAGAGATCACCTAGTACTCTTCTGCCAGTGCAGCGGTTTTCACTTAAACTTTTGGGTTATGAAGCTAGATCTAGTGTACATACATAAACCTCACCTTATCTGCCAGCCTCCCGTCCAGACTCTAGCATTAGTTAAAAGAACAAGCATGGGAAAATACTCTTTGAAGACATAGAATAAATAACTAGTCTATTAATTTGTTAGGCACTTCAATGTCACGATCTCTTTTTCCGAAGGTGGCCGCTTAATAGAAGATTGCGTTTTTGTAACTGCATTATTACAGTCCATGTATTGTTTTAACACTATTGCCATTGTGAGTTTGAGGGTAAAATGTCGTCGTACTTTGGCCCACGGGAGTTAAGAGAGCATGCAAACTCAGCGTGGTCACTTGTTTGCAGACCTTGTACATGTGCTTAACGTCATTGCAAAAATTCTCTTATCCTGCGTGGCAAGCGTTTCCGCGCGATTTCGTCCAGAAAGTTTTGCGCTCTCCAACTTTTCGCGCAATAAATCGATTGAAAGCGCTTGCAACGCAGTCTAAAACTCTCTAAAGTATAATCTTTGCTCTTTTTTTACAACGTTAATCTCCTCTTCCAATTTACCCTCAAAACGTGCGTTAACCAATGTAATGCTGTCTTATTTTACTTGCAGTTAGCAGAGTCACGTCCTCTTGTAAGCCTAGAAGTCCACAGGGGTACCATCTGTGGACGCGGTGTTGAAATTCTTTCAGCTAACGACCCTCAAGTGACGTCAAGTGTAATGATGGCATTCATGGCCAAAGCAGAGGAATTAATGATACAGCAGGAGGAGAGTGATGCTATGGACACCTCTGAAAGTGAAGGTAACAAAATAACAACGATACGACCATTGAATCAGTGCGGTGAAGTACAGTCCAGTAGCGCCAGTGAAGAGAACTGTCAAAATATAGCCTCTGTTCACAATATTGAAAGCCAGGCTCTCCAAACTTCAATGAATCCACAACCTCTGGATCAGTGTGGTGAAGTACAGCAAAAGTCCAGTAGCGCCGGTGAAGAGAGCTGTCAAAATGTAGCCCCCGTACACAATATTGAAAGCCGGGCTCTTCAAACTTCATGCACAATAACCGAGCATCCCTGTATACCGTTCATGTCTATACAGGACATCAGAGCGTGCAAAACGGTTCCTAACAAATTCCGCTGCAGAGTTAAAGCTGTGATATTCTTGCCATCGGAAGTGAAAGACTTTGTGCGAAGGTGCTGCCAATCTTGTAGATGCATGTATAGAGATTGCTCTGGCTCTTCCAGTGCGACTGGTGCTTCAGAATCATCTGTGCTATGTACCAAATGTAACCAAGAGACAACTCTAGTCTATCTGTTTTCCTTTGTTATTGAAGA